ATAATTGACTAGCAAGGTGCACAGAGGAAAGGCCAGGTCTTACAAGGCAGTAAAATCACAGATTACACCATCAGTAAATAATGCAATTAGGGCAGCAAAGTATATGCATGATGGGAAAATGCCTTGGACTGCAGCCCTGCTCCTACTGGAGGTATGTAGAAACATAAAGCAAAAACATTGATTTGTGAGCGTTTCAGCTCCAAAGGTGGTTTTTTTTTATCATTTTCTGGAAGCAACTGTGCAAGAGGAATCTAGGAAAAAAACATAGCTCACTAGGGACAACAGCATCCAAGAATTGAATGCTTTGGAAATGTTTGGAATACTTGGTGAAATAGGTTTGGCTAAACCTGCTGGGTTCATGGACATAGGGCCATAGGACAAGGAGGCCTGAGCCCCATTCAGAAGGAGTGAATCAAGGGATATCTGCAAGGTGGAGAGGGGCTGGAGGAGGGGTGCTTGAGACTAATGTGAATAGAGGTGTTTGGGTTTGATATACAGAGCCTATTTCATAATGATGGTGATTAGGTGCAGCTGTGTGTGATTGACTTTTTGTTATCCCTTCTGAACTTCGGTTAATAACTACCATATATGGAGGGGAACATCAACCAACCCTTTTTGAAGCTAAATCTACTTTTCCACAGATTGACTGGGGAGGATTCAGAGTTTGAAAAAATAGAGCGAACGTTTCACCTCCGCAAGCAGGCAAGAAGTCAGGTTTTTCATCAGGGGAAGAAGCAGAGTGCATCTACAGTATGTGCTAATTCTGCAAAACATTAAAGGCAAATTAACATCACTTTTCACAGAACAGTGGGAACCATTCCACTCAATTGGCACACAATGCATAGAAACTGGATTGACCATTAAATTGCCTGGTGATGTAGAGGTATAGAGGTGTACATGTACACACGTACATGTAGAGGGCTGAAAGCACAACACAACACTCAATTTGAGTTGCAAGCCTGTTGTCCAAATTCATACTTGTAGAAACAAAGGCTGTCCACCCCACTCCACGCAAATTCTTCAGTTACCATTGGAAGAAAGAAAGCCAGTCACACACTTGATTTTTAACATCCGTCTTGAGAACAGTTTGGAAGTAATGGTAAATTCAACAAGCCACTGCACAAATAAAGGATCATTCACATGGAACTGCAGCAGAGAGAGTACAATAAAATCAAACAATATCTGTGAAACATATTTGGGGGTTTCAAAGAGACACATGTAGGCTAGGCATGGACAGGGGAGAAGGCCCCTTGTCTTCATGAAGCTGTCAAGTTTGGAAGACATGTTCACACTGCCTGTAATTCAAGAACAAGGATCATGTCGTTGAAACAGCGGCCTCAGTGAGCTGGGTCTCTTTAGCTGGAGCACTTTGCACTTGTTTGGGTGCCAGCAGTGTCCCAATCCCAGGATCCCCTCCAGCCATTTCCCAGGGAATCATTCGAAAAAACTACAAACAGGACATATAGTGTTTAACCAGCATTATCTAAGAATGTTTAGGAAAACTGCAAGCTTTAGAATTATTGTCAACACGATCTTCAGAGCCATTGACTGTGTTGATTGGGATTTCAGCTCCACTGTAACCGAACCATATCCTAGAGTTGGACACCAAAGTAACTCACATCTAGAGTCTTCCATCTAGCAGGAAGACAGATGAGCAGCCATAATGTCTAACCCAAAACAGGGAAGGCCCTCCTGAGGCACCTCTGAGGAAATTAAATCAGACAGTTTGTAGTTTGCAAAACATGAGATGTGTCTTAGAAAATGTGAAAACTCTTAACATACTGCACATGTGATTTTTTCTTAATATGATTTCTAAATGGACTGGTCCACAATGCTTAATGAATTTATATGAATCATAAAAATCAAGTCCTGTGTAATCTCGTTTGGAAATGCCATTTGAATCTACTAATTGTTTGGAGCAAACAAAAAGAATGTTTCAAAAGGGGCAGATCCAGGTTTTCTGTGCATGCTGGAGAATGCTCATTAACATCAAGTGGATGTCCCTTTTTGAAATATTAAACAAAACGTAGACTAGCAGCTGTAGAGAAGTCTTTAAAACAATAAGCAGGAATGCACAACAAAAATCTAATCTATTCCTCTGTGTGAGAATAAAAATGAACCATCATACTTCTGAAGAACACATCACATGAGTAGACACCTGAAAAGCATGTATAAGCACTGGATTGCTGAAAAACAGCTTGTAGAATAAATCCCAAATTACCCTTGGCTTAATAGTGAGAATGAAGTCTTTATATTATTTTACTCCCATTCATATACTTCACAGTGACTGTTTGCTCTTAAAAGACACTGAAACCCTATAATGGAGGTTCTTCACTTATGTTAGGGAAGAACGACAAAAAACGTTTTAAGTCATTATCGTTCTTGACATCAGTTCTCAAAGCTGTACAGTATATATCAGAAACAAATCTCTGTTCTTGTCACACTTCGTCCCCGTAATCTCTTCTCCAGTGGTGCTGCTGCCCCTTGGTCACTCCTCACTCTGCAGGAGGGTCCCAGCCTCCTCGTCCCACAGCCAGAGGGGCTGGACCTCAGTCAGGCAGGTTAAACCCAACCCCACTCGACGTCCTTCAATGTGTCTACTTTCTGAGTGCCATTCCCATTGCTTATTCCTTTAATATATATATATACAGTATTTAACCAACTTTCACTAATCAAGGTAAAGAAACAGCTATCCCTGACAGCTAACCTTAACTTTAAATATGTGAAGAAGAAAAGGGAGTCTATGCAGACTGTTCTGAAACCCCAGACTGAATCAATATTTACATTCCCATAATTTGTCATAAGGAAAGTACAAAAGATAATGAGTTCCTAGCCTTTATTTAAGGGTTGTATATTTTATGTGTTAAGAGTATGCTTTATACATAACTAACACATGGCTTACAAGTGCCTGCTATTTTAAAATGTCACTAAATTAACTGTAGATAATACTGTACAACTCTTGTGTGATAACCCAGAGTGGCTAACTGGAAATTACTTCAAAACAACTTACGTTCTCAGATTTAACTGACATTTTTTTAGATCAAAAGGTAACAAGACCCATCAACAATCAAAACCAGGGTTTGCAATCTGGTCATTTCATATCCATTTTTATTTAGGGTGACCAGACGTCCTCTTTTCCCCGGACATTTGAGACCTAAAATATCGGTCCGACCGGGATTTATACAATTCCCAGACTTGTCCGGGATTTAGTTTTGCTCGTTCCTCAGACTGTGTAAACAAACGTAGGCCTACATGTTTTCGTTCGTTCCACACGTTACCGGTAGATGTTTTGAATTTACACGCAGCGTAGCTTGAAAAGAGTTTGTGTGTGTATGGCTGTTTTTATGGCCGTGGAAATAACAATATTTAACTTGTTTCATTATACTTCAAAATGTTTCCTTAAAATTGATCATCTAAGTTATGACGTCTTCATTTTTTCCTCAGATGTTAAGACTTTTGTTGTGTTAAATTAAAAAAAAAACATTGGTTAAAATAGGGCTGTATTTGTGTTTTTTCCTTGTTTGCCATTATGGAAGAGACATAGCAACCCTGCACCTGGTTAAAAGGTTACTAAGAAGTTTAATAAAAACTAGAGAGTTTAAATTGATTTTTTAATTAGAAAAAGTAATAAAGATTCATTATTTTTGAGGCATGTGTCGAGTGTCGATTATCGCCCCCTGTCCCCCAGTCCTCTTTTTTGAAAACCACAATATGGTCACCCTAGTGTTTATGATATTATTTAATTATATTTTTTATAATAGTCAGATTATAGTCATTATTATCAAAACACAACTATTCATATAAGGATGACTAAACCACTGCCAAGCTTCTCCCTGAATACAGTCTTCTTAACATATCACACTGAATTACAAAACGCAAATTCCTGTTCCATCCCAGGGCATCAGAAAACAAGCATTGGGATGGAAATATGATTTTTTTTAAAACAACATTCTAGTCAATGTCTCATGGAAACCAAAAAAATCTAATTTTGCTTCTTCATGCCACTGTATGAATTGACATACATTGAGGGCTTAAAAGAGCAGCAATTTTTAACTGTCCAGTTTTCCATATTCAATATGTATTATGCCAGTTCTTCAGGTAAGAAATTCCAGACACACTGAATTACTGCTTCACGCTGAACATTCCTCAGAATGTTATAAAGTGACTTTACTTGGAATTCAGTATGACCTCACTGACTGTAGCAGTGATAAAGTACTGTACAAGAATGTACTGTACAAAAGAGGAGGCCATCTGTTTCAGGGCACCTCTGAACAACAAAACCAAGAGAAATGTGATGAATAAACCTTTATAACTGTAAGGGCTATTAACTGCCTCAGAGATCTCAGGCTTGTGAATGTTTTAAAGCTCCAGCACATTCTATTGAATAACAGACAAAAGGTCAGCTAGATCATGACCAAGCACTGAAATACTGTACGAGAGCTGTTCAGTACCTTGCACTTGGGTTAATGACATAACCTTGTGCTTTCTGGAATCTTTCTCGTGCTCTCCAGTGCTGTACTGTTCAGAACAAAGCGTCTTTCTAATGGACTGCTGGAGAAAGAACACACCTCGCGTTCTTTGAAAAATCTCATTTTGTCAAGTCTGTGCATGAAGCGTGCTGGGTAATCCACTCATCCACTCTCCCCCTCTAAACAGTGTTACTGAACAGAAGTTCAGCTGGAGGTCAGATTCTAAGCTCAAACTTCTGCTTCCCTTCTTTCCCGTGTAAAAGATGCACACTTTCTAGCCCCACTCTCTCCGGACCAACATCGCTGTTGCAGCTCGTTCTCCCTGGCTCATCCCTTGTGACCCTCAGCCAGAGGCGAGTCAAAACTGAAGCATTAATCGTCCCTTTACAATCGTTTCCTCATGATTTGAATTTTATCAAAGAGCAGAAGTACGCCTTTCATTTCGAAACCAGGTTAAAGACCACAAATGGCTGTGTAGATGAAAACCTTGTAATTTACCGTCTGGTCTAAAGCGTGATTTTTCCTCTACAGCTGCTAACCAACCCCGCGGCCCTGACGTACCAGGTATGTCCAGGCTTGTGAATCAGGGCTGTTTCCTCGCCCCCATTCCCCACCATCCTCAGCTACGCCAGTGCATCCCTTTAGACCTGAGCTGCCCCCCGCCCATACTGACATACTGACACCCCGGTGGGTTTCTTGTGGGGAAACTCTGTTTGCATTTTTGTCAGCCATTTTGAGAGTGATTGCAGCCCAGTGCCGTTAGGAAATGATTTTCATGAGCAAACAGTTTCAAGACCACAGAACAAAGCTGTTCCTCCTCCTGTCCCAGTCCAGGGTAACGAGAAAAGATCAAAACCTGCTGCTTGTTTGCACCATTTGTAAATCAACACAAGCAAAGGAAGGCTACGACTTGGAGCCTCCGAGGTGTCTCATTCAGTGAAAGCAGCTAGCACCAGCTTGGATGTGTTTAATCAGATATGGAAGGGAGCTCTCAGGAGATCAGACAAACCACTGGTGGATTGTCATTGAGTTTGTCTGGGGTCAAATCAGCTGGAACGAGCCTAGATTCACTTCCCAACTCTGTAACTCCCACCTGAACATCCTGGATGGGCATCTGTAAACAGTGAAGATGTGCGTGTCCTCTGGGTTCACACTGAGACAGGAACCTGGTGACCCGACCTGGCATGTTTCTGAGGCATTTATTTAATGTTATCGTGGGCCACAGTGTCTGTGTAGGGAGGTTGAGTTAATTTCTATGAGCATTCTGAACTTGTGGGTGTATATACTGTAATGAGTGATTCTAAATACATACTGAAATAACAGGTTTTTTTTTAAGTTTTAAAGTTGTTGTTTTTTTAAAGATGGGCAGATTCAGATTTCCTCCTAATATCCTCCCAACGCACATCAGAACCCCTCCCCCCAGAAATGTAACTATTAATAAGACAAGTTACTTGAAGTTTGGTAAAGAGAGATCATCTGAATTTTCCAGACTGCTCACGTAGTATGTTGTCGTGAAGGTTCAGTTTGCTTATGAAGATCATCATTACAGGCTATTCACCACAATTTGCCAAATTAAAGAATGCAACCTTTTGAACTCTCCTTTTTCCACCTGGTATGGTTTGCTACTGTGAAGAATAGCAAGATAACACCTTAGTCTATGCACTGCTATTCATCTTGCTTGGATTGTTAAAAACATACTAAGATATGTTTGTCTGGACCATCGTTTTGAAAGGCAAAATGTGGATTATTGAAATGCCCAATGCAAAGTGCATATTACTATCAACATTGTGCCTCTATACTAGTCGTTGTCATTGCTCATTGCTGGTAACATTCCTAACTAAAAATGCTGCAGGACAATTAATAAAATAATAGACTGGTATAGAGGTTATGGTACATAAGACAGCAGCTTGCAGCTAATGAGCTGAATTAAGCTTCTAGCTTACTTTGAACAGCATAGCACTATTTCTGGTTAGAAGTGTCACATGACAAAAGCAAAGAAGAATCATGGGCAGAGATCTGCAGGGCAGAGCAGTGAAGATGCAGATCAGAGCTGCGGTCTCACAGCTGTTAAGCTTTGGGAGAGATGCTAATGTGAATCAGTGCCGGATTTCCCATTAGGCACTGTAGGCACCTACGAAATTCTTAGGGCCTACGAAGAAGGGAAACACTAGTGACTAACAAATACAAGCTGAACAACAGGCTTGCAATCAACTCTAGGTGCTCCACATCAATAGCGTCTGTTCTAGAAACTAGACGTATTGAACAGATGGTCGCTTGACTCGCTCCAATAATCACTTGATTTAGCTTTAGAATAGTTTAAAGTGCATCATGCCAATCAATTGGTGTTTACCCCTCTTTCTGCACATTTCAGACTGAAAGTGCCTAGGGCCTACGGACACCAAAATCCAGCCATTGGACAGAACCCCTGCCTAGGGTGTATAGAGCTCTGAGCCCTGCAACACAGGGATTGGATTGAGTGGTTATTGAAGATGGAAGTGGGATTGATGGATGGATAGGTTGGTTGATTTTGGGGGCCGGACTCCATGAAGATAGTTTGAGTATGAGCATTTTGACCAGCTATCCATTTTAAAACTCTCCAGGAATGTCTAAATGTGTACATCTCTTCCAGAGAGCACTCTCCATAACCAGTACTAAAGATTTCAGATTAACGAAAATGTAAACATGACTTTCTTAACTAAACCCTCAGAATAAGGAACCATTCTGTAAATCGTGCTGTGCAGTTAATTGTGACACTCTGCATGCCACAGTCCATGCACGGGCTTGTATTTAAAGAGTTAAGGACCTGAAGTAAAGGTGACATTAAGCCCTCAAACAAATATTGTTAGAAATGTCAAATCAAGGCTCAAAGACTCCCACATTTGTAGACAAGCTCCACCAGAGTGAATTTCTTTTCTTTATATAAAGGATATTAAATGGGGCAGCATGATGGCGAAGTGGTGAGCATTGATGCCTCACGGCACTGGGGCCTGGGTTCAGTTCCTGGGATGCTGTCTGTGTGGAGTTAGGATTTGCTCCCCGTGTTTGTGTGGGTTTCCTCTGGGTGCTCTAGATTCTTCCCACAGCGCAAGACATACTGGTAGGTTAGACGGCCTCTGGGAAATTATGCCCTGGTATGAGTGTATGCATCTGTGTGTGTGTGTGCTCTGAGATGGACTGGTGTCCCATCCAGACTGTATCCTGTCTCACCAGCTGTTTCAGACTCCAGCCCAGCTCTTCCTCAATCCTCTATTGGATAAGTGGCTATAAAATGCATGCATAGAATGGTATGGGATTTGTTTAACTCATACTGCTGTAGCAAAGCAGAGATTTGTTAATACATCCATTGACCCGAGTCTCTAAAACTGATGTTTCCAGGACAGCTGCAGATCTCACCAGATTGGACCGGGTTTGGGGTCTGTCCAGTTGTGCACAACCACTGTTGCTAAATAAGTCCTAGAAAGACTGTCAGTCTGGTGGAATGTACTGTACTGTGAATGGCCTTCTGTGTGGTGTGTGTAAGCTTTTCATGATCAATATTGCATTGCCGAGAAGCATAGTGTAGAAAAAAAGACTAGATTTTAATATTAAATGAAAAAAGCTGCATGTTTCACTTCTTGTACTTTGTCTCATATGTCACTGTCAGTGACAGTGGTCTCTAACCCTAGTCCTGAAGACATCCAGTCCTAGAATTTTTCATAATGTAGGTCGAATCAGTGCAGATTGATTGAACCAAAAACTGGATAGATTCTGAATGGAGTGAGACTCAGTATCAGAGTCCTATTTCAGATCAGAGCTGACAAAGCTGTATGTGTCCTTCCTGGATGTACAACAGTAGGGGACAAAATTGGCAATGCTGCTGTGCTCACACATTTGGAACTGTTAATGGAGAAAATGCACATCTGTGTCCAGAAAGAAGTAAAGTTATATGATACAGAAGCAGATGGCAAGCAAAAAGCATTCAATTGATTTTATTTTTCCAGGATGATTGGTGATGCAGTGGGTATTCAAAGTAAAATAGCAGAAACGTCACAGTGATCCCAGATGGAATGTGGATGTTGTTCTTTGGAAGGACCAGGAGTAGTGTACAGCAGGCAGGAGAAACAGTCAGGGAGCAGTGTTAGTTTTACTAACTGGGGCCAGTAGGGGGCGCTCACCCTGAAGTCTGTGTGGGTCCTAATGCTCCAGTACAGTGACGGTGACACTACACTGTAAAAGATGTTCCGTCTTTCAGATGAGACGTAAAACCGAGGTCCTGACTCTCTGTGGTCATTTAAAATCCCAGGGCGTTTCTAGAAAAGAGTAGGGGTGTTACCCCGGCGTCCTGGCCAAATCACTCCGCTCACTTCCCCACTGAGAGCTGGTGTGTGGTGAACATACTGGTGCACTATGGCTGCCGTTACATCATCCCAGTGGGGCTACACACTGGTGCTGGTGGAGGGGAGTCAATATTGCCTGTAAAGCACTTTGCGTGGAGTGTCCAGAAAAGTGCTATATAAGTGTAAGGAATTATTAATTATTATTAACTAGCCCCTTGCATGCGTGAAGACCGAGGTCCCCAGCACCCCACATTCTCCCAGTGTATGCATGTTACCATCCTCTTTTTTGCAATTTCCGACTGGAGCTGCGTGCCATCAGAGCAGAGGCCAGGCTTGCTTCCTTTGAAACCAGGCTGAAATCTAACCTACTGTATATGACAAACATGAGTTACATGTGATTTGAACCTGCCTGCCTGCTGGTGGGCACACAAAAAGACGACTCCTTGGCTTAGGAGGCTGGTTTAATTTTACCAACTGCTCTTTAGAAATACAGGGCATGGTCTCGGCGTAGCTCCTACTGTGAGTTATGCAGTCCTAGATTACCGCTAACTAGGTTCTGTGCACTCAGGCAGAAAATGTTGATGAAGGACTGGGATTCCTAGGCTAACACTTATATTAGCAGGCATCCAGGCCCTTGGAACGTGTCGCACCGCAGATTCATAGCAACTGGCCCTGAGCAAACAAGGGCGACGCCACGGACGGAAAAAGAAAAGGAAAAAAACATTTATGTCAAACTAGCGCTGCTCTCTCCGACCGGTCGCTGGCAGCAGCGGTGATAAATGCTCGCAAAGCTGGTGCTTTTTGCCGCGGTGTTTAAAGAGAGGAGCACCTGTTGCTGCACCTGTTGCGACGCGCCGCTCCGTTAACTTGACCTCGCGGCAGTTGTCCCGCCTCCCTCCTGCTCCCTGGCCAAGCGCCCCCATTGGTCGGCTCAGCTGTCCGTCGCGGGCTCCGGTTTCGACCGGATTTAGAAAGTGCAGTGCAGCAGCTCTCTGGTTTATCCACTTTTATGGGATGAAATGCCGTCTGCTGCTCTTGCATAAAAAAAAACTCTCCGTCTTCGCTGTATTTTTTTTAAACTCAACGTTACGAGACTTGTGAAACAAGGTCTTGGTCTGAAAGATTGTCAGGAGATATATATATATATCTCATGGCACAAAACGGGTCCTACGAAAAAACAGTGGAATTCAAAATGCGTCATTGTCGAACCTTATCTAAGATAATAAAATAAATAATGGGAATGATACAATCAAGCCAATCGCGCTATCGCTCAGGTCAGTAAGGTTATGCTAATACTCGAGACTGGGAATAAGAAGAACGTATTGGGGCGTGAAAGCGAGGTGATTAGGAATGGAGTCTTAAAACAGCCTGATTCGAGGGCTTAAATGGCGGTTTTGAAGTACCCTTATCGCTGCTGAAGAGAAGACAAGTGTGCGTTATGCCCCTTCACCGTGGATGAAAGCAGTTCATTCCAGACAGGGAACGTTGAGTCTTGGTGAAGTCGGGACTTTTTCAAGAGTGAACAAGTGACTTGCCCAGAGTGGCTGTGGATTTATGAGCTGTGACTCGAGAGCACCACGAACCATGTTCCTGGAAATCTCAGCATGGCAGGGCTGGGTACTGGCAAGACTGCCGATAGTGAGAGAATCAAAACCAGAATCTCCTGTAACTTCAAACACTCAGCCATGGATCCAAAACTGGGGATCAACTTTGGTGCAAGATTTCAAAGATTCCAAAATCTGAATATACTGGATCCACCCTGCTGCACAAATTGTCTTAGACAACGACACTACCAGAAGTCACTACTATATATACACACGCTATGAGAATCAGAAATTTACACAATTTGTCCATTATTGTTTTCTTCTGTTATGATTAGATCTATGAATATTGCATGAATGTCCTTTAATTTACATGGTTCAAAACTGGATCACAGATGCACAAGGTAAATGACGCAGGAGCAGCCGATATTAACTGTGGTAATAGCTGGACATTCATGAAGCTGAAGGGCTATCTTTTGTATGTTAGGTTCTATCAGGATTAACTGTCTGCTTAATGAAAAAAATGTTAAATCTTCAGTAGAAATCACCAGAGAGCTGCACCTTTGCATAGATGAAACTTTGAGCAAAAAGAGTAAAACAACTGTTTTTTTTTTTGCAAAGCATTGTGCATTACTGTGTGTAATATATTACCTACAATAAATCCATATTATTACATACAGTATGTTACAGCTTTCTTTTTTGATTTTGAAAAAAGTTGACCTGCACTGGCCTATGTACAATTGTTTGAATAGACCATTTCTCCTTATTAGACATCATTTTGAAATGAACCACAATGACACATCACACAGATCAAAGCAAAAGAGTAGAAAAGATCCAGAAGAAATACAACTGAAATTTTGTTTGGTACGACACCTTTCTCACTCACGGCGTTGAGGTCGCGCTGACAAAAAGAAGTTGTGTTAGAGTCGTTTGCTTCTTCACATGAGGGATCAAACAGCATTATCTGCCAAAACCATAGGAACACCAGGAAGGTGATACATGATGGGAGGTCATTCAGCACATCTACAGTAGTCCATGGCTTATCTTTCTTGATAAATATTGTATATTTTTCTACTTTAGCGATGACAGGCTAATGAGTTGAAGGATGTGATGGCCAACCTCCTCACGTTTTCCTCCCATTTTTAACCCCAAATTCTGTTTTCAGTTTTTTCCAACTGTTAACGGTTTGCTGGTGCAAAACAACATTCCACACTGCCCCCTCTCCCCCCGAGAGCCTACTGGGAACATAAATCAATCAACACATCAACACTTGGGAATTTAAAAATACTCAATGGAAGGTTGATTTGTATAGAAAGCCTACTGCTGTTTTCTCTTCTCTCCAGCATCTTCCTGCAGAAATCCTTGGAGGTAAAGAAGAGGGGATTTATTTTGCTGCCACTTTAATACAGAGTCTTCCAGTGAAGCTGCCCCTGCAGATAGCCATTCGAGCAGCATGTGTTCCATGTGTCCCATGTGCTGAGATAGTCAGTAGATAGTCAGTCCTATAGATATATGTTCTGTAGATAGTCTGTCCTATAGGCCAGAGATAGTCGATTCCGGTCCTCAAGATCTGGACATAATTAAACTAATTACCTGGAGAAGGAGATACATTTTCAGAGGGTTAGTCAGCTGGCAATTAAAACTAGTTGCAGTTTTAAGAAGGTATTGGACTTTGCCATAACACAATCTATTTTTTTCCTAATTCGGTCCTCACTAACTGACAGCAGGGTGGCAGAAGGGTGAAAGCTCTGGAGGTTGTAAACTCAGATCCTGGGAGGGAAACTGCTCTCCTACTCTTTGCTCAGTTTGCTTTAGAAAAACGCCATGCTGTACCAATGGCTACTCCCTTGGTGGTCACTGTGAAGGTTCAGGTTCTTCTGAGAATTTAGAGCTGCGAGTCACTGTGGGTAGAAGCATCAGCTAATGAGGAAAATGGGCCAACTAACCTCTTATGTTTTTGTTCTCTGTCTTGCAGCTTGCAGCTCAGGTCCTTGATGACTTAGAAGATGAGGACATTGGGTTTGGCCTGTTGGATGAGGAGAAGGATGCTGCCGTTGCCAAGAAACTGGGTGAGTTCTCCTTCTATTGGTATTAATTGCTTCCTGTCGTTATCGCATCATTTCCTGTGTTCCTTGTTATCACCTTTCCACCTTCTTTCATGTCCATCCACGTTCAGAATCAACAATAAACACAGGACAGCAAGGGGGCCTTGCTTTTGTTTTCCACTGTTAAGAATCACATCTACAAGCATCTTTTAAATTCACCAAATTGCCTAAAATGGAGGAGTAAATGCTATGGCTGCTTCGGTAGTCTCACTAAGGGCTTTTCAGGATGTTTTATTTTTTCATCAACTGGTGAACCTGAATCACAAAACATGCTTGGCAGGCAAGAGGACCTCTGGCCAGGACCCTGACCCCTCTGGAGCTTCTGCTGAGATCCCCTCCAACGAAACAGAGGCCCTGATCTGTTCTCGTCTGCTTCTGTCTGCACAGGTCTGGATGAGGAAGACAGCATTTACATCTTTACAGAGGACGAGGTCATCGAGTACGACGGAGAGCTGGCCGCAGACACGTTGGTGGAGTTCATCTTTGACGTGAGTGAGAAAGCGCCCATTCCAATGCTGCGTTCCGCAGTGCCGTTCTCTCATGGCAAAAACGATTATTCTTTCCAGAATAGATTCTATTCCCCCACTGGATGTTTTTTTCATTATTAGTTTTAAACTGGCCCTCATGACACATCCTGGGATGGGGTGTCATAAATGAGATCATCTTTAGGCAGGTGTATGTGAAATACACACAAATATGAGGCTTACTGGCTTTGCAAATTGAAACAAAAAAATGTTTCCCTCCAAAACTCAATCAACACTACACAATTCAAAACCCACATGTCCATGCGTGGTCCATCAATTCCTTCTCCTTCGGATGCAGTGTAGAGGAGAGATCTGCTCTCTTCTTGGATAGCAGGTAATGACCACCCTTGGATGCTTCAGCTTCCTGGTTTTTAAACAGTCGCCTGACTTACTGTCTTTGACCAATGTTTCGAATGACTGAGGATGACAGGTCATTCCCTCATTGTCTTCTGGGGAATGTAGTTTTAGAACTGCCATGTTGTCTGAATATAATGCCCTGTTACAGCCTTATAGGCCCTTTTGTTCTCATTCCATCCAGTTCTCCCTTTGTCTCACTTATCCATTTTGATTTTTCTGCTTTTTATCCCCAATCTTTTACCCTCTTTGGCGTAACAGTGCAAAGTAGTGGTGCAACTGCTTTTGCACGCTTCAGAAAGGTACTTCACTCAAAATGGTTCAGCAGAACACACAGATACAGTATATAAATGGTTACAATTGTAAGTTGTTGTGGATAAAGTGAAAACTGTTAATGGCAGTAATAATAATCCATCCCCTGTATCTCCCATCCCCTGTCCTCTAACTCATTCCCATGATCCACCTTGTGTTTTCTCTCTGGGTGCCCTCGTCTTCCCTTGGCAACAGTGGTCCCTGGTCCAGATCCTGGCGAATCACAGGTGTTATCAATCATGGACCAGCTAAGACAGCATTTCAACTTGTAAATGTGAATAGAACGAAAATCACACCTGTGGCTCTAAAGGATCAGTTTCAGAGATCCTGACTTAACACTCTGCTCCCACTACTGTTCCCAAAAAATCCCTTTCACCCTCCACCTATCTTCCTTACTCTCTTCCTCTTCCTCCCTGCACTCCCTCCCTCCCCCCTCTAACCACCCCCCAGGTGATTGAAGACCCAGTGGAGGTCATCGAGGGAGACCACGAGCTGAAGGCATTTGAGAACATTGAGGAAGAGATCAAACTGGTGGGCTTCTTCAAGAATGAGAAGTCTGAACGTACGTACTGAAGCCGACCCAATAGGGGCATTAGAGGGGAGGTACTGTTCATGTGTATCTTGGACTGCTTTATGTGGACCTGAAACTAGGATAAGGGTGCTATCACCTCACTCAAAGCCCACTTGTGACATACTGGGATTTAGATTGTATGGTATAATAGGATTATTTCATCAGTCCTTTCACCCTTCCAGAAAAAAAAACATAAAGATAAGAAATGAAGATCATGCTATGTGCTTCAAAACCATGCCAAGTTTTTTGCTTTTGGCATTACAGGTCAGTAGAAGAATCTAAGAGGACATTAAGGTCCACAAAAAGTTGGCCAGGGTGCTCATAAAGACACCAAAAACAAGCACTGATTTTGTTTCCAGGTAGTGACCTTTAGTTTTCCACTGATGGCATGGCTAAGTGTGATTGGAGATAAATCATTCCTAGCCAAGGCTGGCATGAAAATAGCTGGGAAACCTGGCATAGCTGAACAGAAATACAGCTCAGGAACCTGTATTTCTACAAGTATTGAGCAATAGGGGGCAAAGCTGGCATCTCAAGAGTGATTCATTTGATGGCAAAGGTAAGTGTTTCCATTGCTTTTTGCTGGCTCAGGACAGCATGCCAAGGCATTGTCTTCGCACAAGGTAGGTGGACCTTCTTCTGTCTTTAATAAACAGACACCTTGTGCCCCCTTTGACAGAAAGCAATACGGTAAGTAGACATCATGTAGAATTCATGGCTTCTAATGAAGCTCAATCCTGTGTTTCATGAAGACTGATTGTAGAAGTTTACAGTCCATCAAAACAATCTATTGCTAAGGTGTCTTTTATTGCTCAGAGCATCAATGGAGCATCTTTGAAAGTATTTAAGGTATAGTATTAGTTTGTCCATCTGGCAATCAGACTGGGTTTTTGTCTCATGTTCAAATTATATCAGCAGCACCAGCTGCCTGGTAGTTTCTCGAGAAACACAAAAGCTACCATTCACTCTTCTTCCAGCTATCCAATGGCCAGGAAAGATCTTATGGTGAATTCTGCATAGCAGTTGTAAAAATATAACATCCATGCTGAATAAGACCTACAATTAAATAGGAAACTATAATTATTTCATAAAGATGCTACCCCTGCCTCTGTTACTCCCTGTAATAAAGAGATAAAGATGTTTGCAGTACTAATTACTGTAGGGGAAAATCCATCCATGTCTTTTCCTTGTTTTTGCAATTGTGATTCACTTTCATCTCTTTTCATCTATTACTGAGGTCCCCGCTTGCTTTTAAAGCACAGTGAGCACTGGGCTGCCTCCATTTCTAAACAGAAATAACTGATAAATTTGGAAGAAGAAGGCTGATAACTCTGCATAGGGTGACCAGTTGGTTCTAAAACACCAAGAGCCCTGAAAGACCGGACTGGATTTTGAAATAATTTGGAGCATTAAGCTTTCACTAATTGGACAATTCGTACTTGACATGCTTAATATCATACATTGCTGTACAATATTACTTTTATGAAATGAAAATGAGTAAAAAGTGTCGCAACCATTCAAGAAGTATTTTATTTCTGTAATTAAATTATACATGAGAAGGTTCTTACAAATTATCTGTTTAATAGTAAGTAATAGTAAGCTAGTTTAACCAGTAACATTAATCAGCATGTCACTCCTGCAGGTCACTGTTAAGCATAGTGAAAGGACAATCAGCATAACTTATTTGCTGTGCACAGTAATCAAGAAAGAGAATACATTCAGCAGACACATCATATTTAACTTAGACATTAAGTTATTTCAAGTAAAAGGCAACCTGCATCGTTTCAAAACATCCCAGGAATTCCAAAAGCCAGATGGTCATTTCCAGTTAGGATAGATGTAGACTCTGTAGACAATGTCACATCTATGCTGTGATGGGTCTGGTTCCTGGGATGATGTGTTGACAGTGCCGCCTGCTGGGCAGTGGTAGGATTGTATTGCATAAGGCCAAAACCTAAATGAGTCTCTATTTGACAGCTTTGCTTTATGCATCATGCAGAGCCTGCTTCAGCCATTGGTTAGTTATAACAATACCGCCTTGCATTAATAACTCAAAAGGCTGATGCTCATACAACAGGCATGAAAACAGTACAGCATTCCTTGATCCTTCTGTTTCTTTGAGGATGGTGCTGATTTTAAATGACCAGATTCCACATCAGTCAACATTCCAATAAAGAAAAGATTGAATTCCATGCAATTAACATACACTGTACAAATAGATTAAATATGTCAAATACATGACACTGTAACAACAGATCTAATAAACTACATACCGTGAGCCTATGAAAATGTACTGCATCCATTTCTGTTTGTATGTTTATTGCTTCTGAAGTAATAACGTTAACTCAATCAAGCCTCTGGGGGGGTACACCTTATGAAACGAAGGCTATATACCTACTGTGTGCATAGAGGGTTGGTACGGCTGAAAAAACATTCTGACCATTTGCTTCCATTTTCAGACTACAAGGAATATGAAGACGCAGCTGAAGAATTCCATCCCTACATCAACTTCTTTGTCACTTTTGATCCTAAGGTAAGGCTGTCCAATAATGGTTCTTGAGTGCTTTTTTGTGGTTTCTGTCTCAATATTTTTGGAGTTCTGTGGGGTTGCTTTGGGACTATATGGTGATATATGTCACTTGCCAGCTGTCCTTATTGTGTCATCTTCAACCACAGGACCCCTCCTGACCAAATGCAGCTAATCTAGGGGGGGAGGGGAAGCACAGTAGTACAGGTGCTCCCCAAGTTACATGACACTCAACTTACATACATTCAACTTAACATAAAATCCCTGTAAATTTATTATTTTTTTACCTTTTATAAAAAGTAACCCGTGGAATCTATCTACAGCCTTGTAATACTTTATTAAATACTTTCTGCTGTTCAATCCCTGAGTTTCATTTTTTTCCCTAAAGAGTCTATTTAATGCATGTTTTTTTTTTATTTTGTTGCAGAAGACACTGTATCCACTTTACTTAAAAATATATTTATGTGAACCTACTGATATCACAGTACAAAATACCTATTGTGCACATGGCTCATGGACGAAATTCATCTTACATAAATTTCAATTTATGGAATAGGGAGCTGAACTCTGATGTACGTTGAGGACTGTATGTACTTTGAAATATGAAGTTGATCCACTTCACATATTGTGACAGCTCATTGATTGAATAGTTTGATTCTGTAAAATTTTATTCATTGACACATACACTGCTGTGTTCATTGTGTAACTTACATCGAGGGATATTTGAAGTCCTAGTGGGATTAATTTATCTCTTCTAGGTCTGCTGAGTGTCAGTGATTTTCTTTTTCACTTGTCCACTAGATTGCAAAGAAACTGGACCTGAAACTGAATGAGGTAGACTTCTACGAGCCTTTCATGGATGAACCCATTGTCATCCCTGGAAAGCCCTACACAGAGGACGAGATTGTTGACTTTATTGAAGACCACGAGAGGTGACTGCCGACACAAAACTCTGAATTCAATAGATTTGTCAGATTCTAATGAAGGTGAAAGAGGGATTAATCTATCAGAGGTTATTTGGCATAACACTGCTTAAGAAAATGGCCACCAGGCCATCAGGACGAGTCTGACAGAACACCATTCGCTTTTGTAAGGATTGAGCTGGGGAGCTCCCGTAAGGGTGAAGATGGGTGGTGGGAGCAGGGTGAGATAAATACTCCATGGGAAGTTCAGATGGTGAAATAGAATTATATATATATACAGGAAAGAGTGGAAGTAGGCAAGATATATAGTGTGATATACTGGGTTTCTTAATCGTGCAGAGGACTTGAATGCCATTACATGTGGAATCTCTTTATGTTTTATTAGTCTGTTTGAGTATAACTTATACTATAAGGGTTGAGCGTTCACTGGTTCAGATGACAATTCTAAAACAATTAGAATGATTCATCATGTATGCTGACTGGAGTCTATGGTCCCCATAGAAATGTACATAACAAGCTAAAATTTAGCCTTTGAGCTACTTTCTGCACAACATTAAAAAATAATAGATTTTCCAGAAATCTAAGCTCAAATTAAATATGAGGACATATGATTTTTCTTTGTCACATACATTTTTTAATGTTTTTTATCTATTTGATTTCAGACCAACACTGAGGAAACTTGAGCCATACAATATGTATGAAACCTGGGTAAGAATGGCAGATTATGATATTTTATACACTTAAGAACAAATCTTCTAATGTAATGTCCCAATTGAAGTCAAACAACATGAGAAAGGTTGTTAGTGGTTCAAGGAGATTCATTAAGTTCATTTGATTTTGCAGGGAGTAATTGGTCCATAGGTCTTATCCAGCCATTTTGTGAAAGAACATCTGATATTGCTGGTTATTGTTGGATATATAATTGCTGGATAAAATCTTTGAATTGGATATCAGTTTCAACAGTTTAGCTAATGGCTTATTCCAGATGCAGACAACCCTTTGTGTGAAGACATGTTCAAAACCATAGATCTACCTCAGCTCTCATGTTGCAGTTTAAAATGATTTTTTTGTTCTGTTTTTGAGATTTAAAAAACAATCTGTACACCAACCTTTAGAAAACATTCATCTGGGCATTAATTGAATGATGGTGTATTTCAGAAAGATGTGCTGTGCATTGTGTTGGCACTGTGTGACTGCAGATTTATTAAGGATGCTTTGTGTAAACCAATTTCTTTTTTTTTCTTTTATCAGGAAGACGATATTGATGGCAAACATATTGTGGCTTTTGCAGAAGAGTCTGACCCAGGTAGAGGAAGCTCAGCTATAAATCTACCGAAAAATAAACTAGTAACAATAACTGCTGGGTGGAATAAAACAAAAAGCTTTTTAAATGAACTGGATTGTATGACCACACATGTCACTGTAGCTTTAGTTCTGACCCTACAGTTTAAAACAGTGCTACTCAATTGGTAGTTTTTTTCAAATTCACTCCAATCCAACTAATTAGTTAACAATCATATTAACCACACATATTATTCTATAAATAGAGATCATGTTAAGTAAACAAAATAATTAAGCCATTATGTTAATCATTAAAAGACAGCCAGGCAACCAACAGATTAAAACATTTAGACAATACAGTAGGTGAAAATGCTGCTTCAATAGATTATAAAATAATCTATTTTATAAAGTAGATTGTAAAATAAAGATAGAGACATCAAACCAAACAATGTTCAACAGAAACCCTGTAGAGAACATAACCAGGAACTAACCAGTAAATATACAAAGATATTTTGTGCCAAAAGTCAAAGGCAAAGCTATCGTTGTTGTCTGCATTGCATTCTGAAGTTAAAAGTGATATGGGTCGGTAATTCTGAAAGTCATCCTTGCTGTCTCCATATTTCTCCCTGTCATACCTTGTCAGATGGCTTTGAGTTCCTGGAAATCCTGAAGGAAGTTGCAGAGGACAACACAGACAACCCTGACCTCAGCATTATCTGGATTGACCCTGATGACTTCCCCCTGGTAGGCCACTAGCTGTGCTAACAATAAAATGCTTGACAGACAACCATCTAACACACCTGCTCACCGCTTATGCCTTTTTCAGTTCTTTTTATGCTTTAAATTTTTTGTGGCTTCAGCGTACCGAATACACCCTTTACCCCAATAGCAGTACTTTCTTGAGTGAAAGAAGGCCGCTTTTAACTGATCTTTTTTTATTATATTTCCCTGTCAGTGTATGTAAACTGAATTATGAAGACTGAGGCTTGTTGCAAGTTTGAGGTGTAATTCGCACAGCTAGTTCCAGGTCTGTCACATGAAATTGAGTCAACCTCTAGACTGGAATCTATGGAATAGATTTTATGAACATCATGAGGGCACTAAGTTTAGACAAATGTCTGTGAAGGGATGTGGTTGCGTCATAAATCATATTTTACCACATTAATTTTTAAATGCTTCTCCAGATTGAAAGACTGCATGAAATATCAAACTTTACATATCTTGCTGTGACATTGAAGTTCTTCGTTTCTGCTCCTTCTTCTGCTTGATTCCTTTACTTTGTTTCATGGCTTCCCAAGTGCTAAAACACAATCTACTCTACATTTCTTTCTGTATCACACACCCCATCATCCATTCTTACAATATTGCATTAGCCTCGATGAAGCCCATGCACTAGGCTGGGCAGAGATTCCAATTTACTCAGAGTTCACACCAAGAATGAAGGATTATGGGAGGATTATGGAGTGTTCAGTGAAAATTTGGTTTAACCTGCTTGTCTGAGGGCTGCCCTCCTGACCAGAGGACGAAGGGGCTGGGAGACCCCCATGTAGAGAGATGAGTGACCGGGAGGCAGCTGCAGAGGTGGAGAGGGGGTGGAGGTGGGATGCAGAAAGATGTGAGCGAGGAAGAGAAGGGGATCAGCACAGTATTTATAGTGTTTTAGGAGAGGAAATGACATCAGGACTGATTGCAAATTACTGACAGCTGAGTCTGATTGAACTTGGTTGTTGTCATCCCTCCCGAATTTTCATTATAAACTCCATAGAGGCAAAGGGAATGTTAGTTTGGAGGTGTAGACTAGTTTTCAGAAAGCCCAAAAGAATGTCCAGCACTGGACTGACCATCCTTTCTCATAGGGGATGTGGGCACAGTTCAGACTTGAAGCTTTGAGAGGGACCTAGACTGGAGAGAGGGAGCCCTTTTTCACTTCACAGGGTGAGAGAGCAGCCACATCTTTCTGCCTCAGTACTACCCTGCACAAGTCTCTTCCGTCTTAGTGGTAGATATCGATGCAGCATTTCTGGACATTGGTGTCCTGCACTTGACTGTCCACATTACTTTTTTCTGCCCTAAAATAAAACAATAAAAAATTCAGCTTAGAGTGCTCTTATCGTCCCTCCTACTCCATTAACACTTTTGATGCGTGATCTTTCACAAACAACAGATACAGAACGACTAACCCTCATCGCACCTCCCAAGCCCTTCCAGATAAGCTACTAATTGCCAATTCGCTCAAGCCACCGTTTAATGAATTTTTTTTTCATACACGTCACCTATTGAAGATGGTAAAACAGATCCAGTGAGCCTTTCTCTTCTCTCTTCCAGCTTGTTCCCTACTGGGAGAAGACTTTTGATATTGACCTGTCCTATCCTCAGATCGGGGTTGTCGATGTTGAAGATGTGAGTTATCCCGTTTCCTGTTTAATTAATTATCTTTATGAGTTTGGCCACCTCTCTTTTAACACTTCTTCTTCATTCTTCCTTACTCGCCACCCTCCCCTAGCCCCCTTCTGTTTCCATTGTCCAGTCCTCTCACTCTTGTTCCCTGTTCCGAGCTCTGCCTTTGCCTCACTCCTCCCCTTCTCTTCCAGGCGGACAGCGAATGGCTGGAAATGGATGATGAAGATGACATGCCCACAGCAGACGAGCTGGAGGACTGGATTGAAGATGTGCTGGAAGGGGATATCACCCCTGATGATGACGACGATGATGATGATGATGATGACGATGATGATGACGATGATGATGATGACGACGACGATGATGATGATGATGATGACGATGATGACGACGATGATGATGACGACGATGATGATGATGACGATGACGATGATGATGATGACGACGATGATGACGACGATGATGACGACGACGATGATGATGATGATGACGATGATGACGACGACGACTAAACTCTCATTGCCATCTTCTAAGTTTCACAACTTCTACCAAAACTGTTTGAAAGTCATTACATATATCAGAGTCAATATTGTCAACAACCCAAAACTTAACTTTCTTCCATCGTCATCACTTAACTTAAAGCCACCACCTGCTACCCTAATGTCATCGTCTGCTCTCTAGTTCTGTCATTTCTTCACGTTCAACATCTTCAGCTGTCTGGCTAAACAAACACTACCCTTTCAAAAGTCATCAGAATCTTAAGTCTGTCTGTCATCTGAAAGACTGATCATTGTCTTCTTCTTTAGACCCCTTCTGTCATGACTAGGGAGCTTTCAAACTGTCCAACTGTTAATACGTCTGTCTTTAAAGTTAGTCTAGTTTCTATTAAGAAAAGATTCACAACCCAAATTCCTCGACAGAAAACATATACCTGTATTCATGAGTTGACATTAGAACCCAAAGTCCAATCCTAAAGACAGTTAAGAAAAAAAATCTTGAGTCTTCCTATTTTACACTGCAGACCTCTGTTTTGTAGCAACATTTTTTATATGCTGAATGATTATATTTTGAAAAAACAAAACCGAGATTGGCAGATATCCCAGAGTACCACAACAGAGTTTGGACATTTTGATTGAGGTGCACAGAAGGACACTGAAATTCTTCCCATCCAGTGGGAGACTTGCAATGTCCTGTAGAGCAAAAACAGGGATCTGGGGTCTTTCAGGCGTATCCATGATGGTGAAATCAGGCAGTAGGCATCTAAACCACTCCTCAAAAATGATTTTTGCTTCAGGAAATAAATGAATACTAATAGTTTGTGCAGGGGCAATAGGTGTTCTTTTCCTCATGCTGGAATCTGACTTGGGGGGGGGGGGGTTCTTGTCCTGTTCAATCTCAAAACGTCTCAAATGTGATCTCTACGAGTCTCTCTAAGAGTGTGGGTCAGATATTTCTCCCTGTCTCCTGTGACACCATCCACCACATCACTGTGACCTTCCTTGACAGAGAGCAAGGATCTCGTCCCGTATTTTGTGAAGTAAACTTGAGTACTGCAACCAAATGTTTTCTACTGGTAAAGAAAAAAAAAAGAAATGATCTTATTATAAATATTGTTTTTTAATGGAGCAAACAGGATCTCACTGTAAAGTCTTAAAAAACCACACAGCTTGGAAAGAAATGAAATAAAGAATTGTTTTGGATTTTTTTTTCAGTTTTATGCTGGAAAAAGAAAAAAAAACTTCCAAAAACCAATCTGTCTGTCGATCTGTTTCATTTATTCCTTGTAAGGTTCTCCCTCACAGTTTGCACTCCCAAATTACTGTGTCTACATGTCTTCCAGAATTGATACTGCACAACAGAGGCACTTGAGGTTTTGAAATAAGGAAACTCTAAAACGTCTTAATCAGCAGCACCTTGTTAATAGGGCAGGAGGTTAAAACAGACTGCACTGTCTGTTCTTTAACTGCATGAATGTATTGTTTACTAACCCTGCATAGAGGCTTTGACACCTTACCTGTGAGAGATATTGTGGAGCTGTGGTCAGGGTTCTAGACTTCTAACTGGTTGTGAAATCCCTGCTGAGACACTGCAGTTATACCCCAGAGCAAGATATGTCACCTGAATTTCTCTAATAAAATCCCCAACTGTATAAATGGGTACAAATATAAATTGCTTTGGATAAACGTGTTAACCAAAAAATCTAGCAATTAAGGCGGTGGTGGTCGGCTTGGAAGTGATAATACTACAAATATCTCCATATGACAAGATAGAAAAAGAATGCTGTTTTGAAGCATACTTTAATCTGGAGACTCTAAAGATTTAGATCATCACAATGAAGGTTATCATTTTTCTAGCTCAAGCGGCATGGTGGCGCAGCGGTTAGCGCTGCCTGCTCGCAGTGCTGGGGCTCTGGGTCCATTTCCTGGGGTGCTATCTGAGTGGAGTTTGAATGTTCTCCCCTTGATCGCTTGCTCTGATTTCCTCCCACAGTCCCAAAACATTCTGGTTGGTTAGTTGGCTTCTGGGAGAATTAGCCCTGGCGCGGGTGTGTGCTTTTCTGTGTGCCTGCTGATGGACTGGTGTCCTCCCCCAGGTGTACCCCGCCTTGTCCCCCCAGCTTGATGTGCTAGGCTCTGGCTCCCCTGTGACCCTGAATTGGATAAGCATATTAGAAAATGGATGGATGGGGATGGATTTTCCAGCTTGATAACAATGAATGCACCTACTTTGATATGACCTTCACTGAGTTAACCAGATAAACATGCAAGCAGGAGGCGATGGAAACTCATTTCTGGATTCTTAATGACTAGCTGAGGTCTGTCCCATCATACTTATCGTAATGTTACTACACATTACAGAGCTCAAGCGTCCAGCTCTTAAGCTACTGCAAATCACTTTTATATACTCACAAAGCTTATCCAAAACTCCCCGAACCTCTGTGAAAGGTCCAATTCTCGGGCACCTTTTAACCATTCATCAGGCCTAGGGGTATGTACACGTAGGAAAAAATACCCAAACCTGGGTTTTCACAAACAGTTGATGTTGATCCTATTTGTCATAATGCTTCCTCGAGTTCCAGGGATCTATTTTCCAGCTCTCCGTTACTCTTTGTAGCTGTTTTACATACACAGGCTTCATTGGAATCCTCGTTTGGCTCAGACCTAGACTGGTTTAAGCATTTCTTTGTATCTCAATCAATAATCAGATATTAGTAAAAGAACAACAGTATATGTTCACTTTATTCACTTTTTTCCTTTAGTAATGTCACATTACAATGCTAATCTGCTACAAGTTTTGGATGTAAGTACCAGATTTACACTTCATTTAGTCTCTAGAACAGCTTGACTAGAATTGTTGCAGAAACTGCTTGTTTTCTTTAATCAGTAATTACTGATTTTTTTTCGACATTTTGGAGATTTCTTCAGGTTTAGCCTCTGGTCTGCAGTAATCTTACCCATATGCCAACCTCACCCACCATAACAGAGTGAATTCCTTGGTCGGTTGCACTCCTCTCTGTACAGTAAATACTGATGCTCCTTCCACTGGTGGTATTTATCAACTCATAAGCGACTCACTCCCTCCTTTTCCTTCAGTTCATTAGAACTTGGATAGAACCCAGAAACATCTTCAGAAGCAAGCTGATGAGTGAATGAGCATAACTGTGTTTTGATAGCTTTTCAGCAACACACCTAGAATAGAGGGTTTATTGAAACCAATGATTGGAGACAGAAACATGTTGGAAAGAGTGTAATCAAGCTAAACATCCGATAAAGGGATCAATTCACCACAAATGACAAGCTGTGTTGGAACACTACTAACTGGAAGCGATAGGGGTTCTCTGGTCAGGGCCCAGTATTCTGAACTTTATTCTCCCTACATGATTTGACACTAGTGGGTATTAAATACGAAGTATATGGCACTACCATACAAAGGACAGTAAAAGGAACTGGATCTGACACTTGAAAAGTAACCATCAGGGAGATGATATATCCCTTTTGAACAATTTTTCAGACTCTGATTCTGATTGAATTTATGCAATTAGCATTTCTCCAGTAATGCACACAAATATAGATTTTTGCACAAGCAGTTGAAAAAGGAGTCAAGAAGTGCAATTTAGTCTTGCACCAGTAGTACACTGTAATGTATACACCATAATTTGTTAGAGGTGCCCTTCTCAGATGAAAGCATGGACTTCATTGGTCATTTTCAATCTGCAGTGTCTTCCAACCAGATTTATCAGTACATTTCCATCTTTGTCATAAAGCACAACGAATTCAAATGACGATTTTAAAAACTGGCATCGTCATAGTTTTTTATACTGTGTGCATTCCACATCCCTTGTAAACAATGAGATCAGCCACTGACAACCTTAAACTTCAAATCACAGACTATGTGAATAACCCATTGCTCTCTGCCAAGACTCTCAATGACCTGAACCCATTTGTACTAAAATCCCCTCCATCTGGATCCAGGGGAACTAGCCTTTGGACAGCTGGAACAGTCACGTGTACTATCGAAATCCACATTATTGTTTCTGCATCAAGGGTGATCATCTAACAGAACTGTCAACAAATGATTTTTAAATCATCAGCTTCAGGCAGAACATAGAGAAGAAATGTGTTGCAGCAAATATATCCTCCACTAAAGAGAAACATCAAAAACATAATAAAGGTTGCAAACATGAAGAGGCTATTTTTCCTATCTCATTTGGTAGTTAGTAACTACTTGCCATAAAAACCTCATCCAGCCTGTTGCTGACAGAAGCCAGGGGCATCAGCTTCAACAATATGGCTGGGCAGCTTGTTCCACAGTCCCTTTGAATAAAGAAAAGATGTGCCTTCTATTCCCAGATTCAAACTGTCGTTTGGACTAGTGTCCTCTGGACCTTGTTTTAGTGTTGATGCCTTCTTCAATGTCTGTGAAAGGTCTGAATACTTGAATCAGGTCCCCTCATTGTTTTCTCTGTTCAAGACTTTTTTAACCTGTCAGCATAGGACATTTCTGTGAGCCTTGAAATTTCTGTTACTTGCGAGTTAATTATTCAAAACACGCTTTCTTGACATCAGTGCCCGCTGAATACTTGACAGTGAATATTTGGGATCTGTCTCACAATCACAAAACGTGACTGTCTTCTGTTAAAATACAGTTACAATACCATAAAGATAAGAACCACACTATGACTGAAGATCTCCAAAGGTAGATAAATGGACCAAATTTGGACCAAATGGACAAAAAGACCTGCTGCAGAAAAACTAAAAACAGAGACTCTCCTCTACAATTTGATCTTATTAAAATGCTTTTCATTAATTTTGGGACAATTTAGGTCAATTTCTAAAATCTTAGTAAAATAACAAAGAAAAATAAAAACAGCATACATTTCATTTTAACTATAAACACTTTTATTGAAACATACACACTTTTTGTTTCAGTACAAACAGGGCTTGTTGGTTCACAACTCTGCACCCGGAAGAACACTGCATCTCCTGGTTTCCCTTCAGCTGAGCTCTACATCTCTGCTGCCGATTAAGGACTTAGTTTATGTGCTTGCTTGTTTAGACTGTTCATGAAGAACAGAAATTGGTGGGGCTGGCAGTGGATCACTCATGCCCATAGTGTGAGTGACAGTATGTTAGACACTCCCATATTGAGAGTGACACTGTATCAGACATGTCCACTGTAGGAGTGACACCCTATCAGACACACCCACAGTGAGTGTTTTTCTCTTCTGCAGAGGTCTGATTGGTTACATTTCAGACAGCACATCTGAGTGAGGGTGGATATTCCATGCCATTTACTACCTAAATCTTACTCTTTTGATTTTATCTTTTGATCTTTTGATACTGAGGCTAAACTCAGGATTGTTTAGCTCACGGGTCTTGAAGAGAACTCAGCCCTTTCTGAAATGGAGATAGGTTGGTGACTTCAGTTCCACCTGTTTCAAGAATCTCAGCATGGCTCGTGACCTTCTAACCAAGCTACCCCAGCTAGCGATCTACTGTATTTCAACGTGATACAGATCATGTGTGCAGCAGCCATGAGTGTTTTCAGACTGGCCTTATTAAACAGATACCACTCAATGATACATGTCAGCCTTTTTCTAACTAGATGTGCAAAGATACTGTATGTGAGCATGAGACATTACCGTTGCACTTTCCAGTATGATCCAGATCTGTTAAAAATACAAAATGATCAGGCTGGCAACAGAACCTCAGATCCTGCCTCTCAACACAGGTCCATTTTCCAACCCTAAAATGCTGTAACTACTTCTCTTGAAAAAAATCATTTCACCATTTGCATTGTTGAGTCTTGCATGGGGATTCTATCGCTTATGGTACAGTTCTACACCACTATTTTTTAGGTGATGCATCTCATTCCCCAAAAAACAAACCCAAAATACCAACCGGAGCATTTTCTAACTCCAATTTCCACTTGCTCATATTGTTGCCATCTACTTCCCTGGTGGTGGTCCCTTCCACCACGCCAAGTCCTTGGATTAGCTTCCTGCGACGAGCTCTTGCCAGCTGCTCAAGCCCTCCTGCCTGCGTCCCTCCTCTGACCAGCACAAGAAAACACGGGGCTCAGCTGTCCGAGCTGTGGACCCGCTGGTGATCCTTGAGGTGGTCCACGCGGCTGAACTTCTTGCTGCAGAAGCCGCAGTGGTAAGGGGTCTCCCCGCTGTGGATGCGCTGGTGCCTCCGCAGGGCTCCCGACTCCTTGAAGCCCTTGCCGCACTGCCCGCAGTGGTACGGCGTCTCTCCCGTGTGGATGCGCCGGTGCTTCTTGAGGGTGCCCGCTCCCTTGAAGCGCTTCCCGCAGTCCTGGCACTCGAAGGGGCACTCCCCAGTGTGGATGCGCCGATGCTCCTTCAACGAGCACATCCACTTGAAGGCCTTCCCGCACTCCGAGCAGCGGAAGGGGGTGTGGCCCGTGTGGATTTGCTGGTGCGTGCGCAGCTGCCGGATCTGCCGGAAGCTCTTGCCACAGTCGTCGCAGCGGTACGGGGTCTCTCCCGTGTGGATCCTCTGGTGGGTCTTCAGGTTGCCAAGCTGGCTGAAGCTCTTGCGGCACTGCGGGCAGTGAAAAGGCGTCTCGCCCGTGTGGATGCGCTGGTGCTCCTTCAGGTGCCCCAGCTGCCGGAACTTCTTCTCGCACTGGGTGCAATGGTACGGTAGTTCACCCGTGTGGATCCGCTGGTGGCGTTTCAGGGCGCCCGAGTCCTTAAAGTTCTTCCCGCACTGGCCGCAGTGGAAGGGAGACTCCCCCGTGTGGATACGCTGGTGCCTCTTCAAGGTGCCCGAGCCCTTGAAGAACTTCCCGCACTCGCTGCAGTGGAACGGGGTGAGGAGGTGTCGCAGGGGCGATCCCAGCGGGGGGAAGGAGTCCGAGTGCCCGTGCCCGAAGGCGTAGAGGTTCTGCCTGCTACTGGCAAACTCCGGATCCTGGTCCTGGAAGCAGGCACAGTCGTAGCCGTTTTCCACTCCTGGGATGCCATCCTCTCCCCTGTCTCCCATCCTGTTCTGGACTTTTTGACGAGTGCTACAGCTGTACATGTCTGCCCTTTGTGTTTTCGCCATTAGGTCATTGTGCTCCAGCATTTGGGGTACGATCTCATTTCTGCGGAAACCGTTGTCATTCAAGTGGTCCAAGCAACACGAGTCGGGTGCAGCCCTGTCCCCGCCCTCCCCTGAACCCTCGAGCACCTGAGCAGCTGAGAGCGGACCCCCCATGCTTCGGTGCACCGTGAGGCTCTGGATGTTCACGGAGCGCGTTTTAAGGATCTTGACGATTTCCTCCAGGTGGGTCTTTTTCATGTGCTTGGCGAGGTCCCTCTCTTGGGAAAAATGGGCTCTGCAGTGAGGGCATGACAGCCCAGAGACGTGGTCCTGGTCCCTCTCACCTATGGATGAAGTGCAAAAAAAAGCGTTCTTACTAATCGTCTTCTGGAAGTTACAGGTTAAGTACCACAAAGAAGCCATTCCAGGTTTGGTTAGCTAACAGGGACCAGTATGTAAACCAAGTAGAGTGCAAAATGAAGCTGCAAACAAGCCTAACCTTCACATGCTCAGGAGGTGGAAGGAAAATGGAACAGGGAGAAAATGCCAGGAGGCACCACAGCCCAAACTGGAACCCAAGAATTGCAAGGCAGCAGTACTACTCAACACAAAATTTGGCTCCCAAAGAACCCAAAAATGTCCCACTTTCTACATTTGCACGAGTCAACACTGAGGTCTGACTTCTTTCAACCAAACCAAAGGGTTCATCAAATTCAATTGTATTCTTAAGGTGGTTTCATACACCTGTTTCCTGTAAGCACAAATGGTTATGGTTCTGATATGGCTCTTCTACTGAGCACCAATAAATACTTCATTAAAAAGGGTCAATGAGCGCTTCATGAATTAACAGATTTATCCTCACAGAGCATTTTCTCAGAAGTCAGAATGCATGAAACAATTTCAGTTACCTGACACTCAAAAGCCCTATTCTGCAAAAGTCCACTTATTTCTTTCAACTTTAAGACTGAAGCAATTGAACAGTAACTTTAAGGGATTATATTTTCCGGCAAACTATAAAGGCTGATTAAATAAAGAGGTAAATTACCCCTACAAAGGAAGTGTTTTTCTCCCAGCACATTGGTCAAAGTGGGATATTTTACCACTAAACAAGCCAGGTTAAATGCGATGTAGAACATAATTTCTTTTTGTACCCTCCATAAGAAATTCTAATGTTTAGTGTGGCAGATACTGGCTAGTGTATAGCTTAGCTATTTGTATTTATAGCCAGCAGCCATATCACTCTGCAACTCACAACTGGCAACCCACTGAAGCTAAGCAGGTGTGAGCCTGGTCAGTACCTGGATGAGAAACTAAGGTTGCTGCTGGAAGAGGTGTTAGTGGGGCCAGTAGGTGGCACTCACCCTGCAGTCCATGTGGGTTCTAATGCCCCAGTATAGTGACGGGAACACTATACCGTAAACGGGCGCTGTCCTTGGATGAGATGTAAAACCGAGGTCCTGACTCTCTGTGCTCATTAAAAATCCCACAGCGTTTCTCGAAAAGAGTAGGGGTGTAACCCCGGTGTCCTGGCCAAATTTCCCATTGGCCTAATAATCCTCATCTATGAATTGGCTTCATTACTCTGCTCTCCTCCCCACTAATAGCTGATGTGTGGTGAGCGTTCTGGCGCACTATGGCTGCCGTCGCATCATCCAGGTGGGGCTGCACATTGGTGGTGGTGGAGGGGAGTCCCCATTACCTGTAAAGCACTTTGAGTGGACTGTCCAGAAAAGCGCTATATAAGTGTAAGCAATTATTATTATTATTTCACTAGAAATACTGTACAAACTTATAAACTATCCATCACCCCAGACAGAATTATATAAGCTCTAGTATTACAATTACTGTATTTATGGTACTGTATATTTATTTTAGAAAATCTTTCTGTATGTAAGGTACCTTCAATAACGTCTGTACCGTACATCCTGGGTATAACCAGTCTAGCCCGCTATCTCAGAAGTTATGAAAGGCAGGTTGTGCTCTTCCCTCTGCACTTGAATTTGGAGGGGAGTCCCCATTACCTGTAAAGCACTTTGAGTGGAGTGTCCAGAAAAACGCTATATAAGAGTAAGCAATTATTATTATTAGTGCACCACCTACCCAGTGCCACACAGATTCAAAGAGGTCTGCCTGCAATACTCACATTTTCCAATTGGTGGCGACAATCGAGACCTTCCTGTATCTTTGACTTCAGAGTCGACCATATTGGCAACCCGAGTGTCACTACTGCTCCCTGATTCATTGCACTCCTGGCTGCTCACAATCTCCTCTTTACATGCCTCCAGAAGGTCTTCACCAGACTTGCGTTCGACTGGGGGATCCTCAACACAACAGTGGGCAGATTCTGATTCAATCGCATCCTTCTGACCTGGCGTCTTCTCCATAGTCGCCCTTTAAAGACGGCCGGGCTGTTCTTCGAAACTGGGTTCTGGGACAAAGACAGGCGGTAAGGATGTTAGCTGCAAGAGGCAAAACAGGTCACGAAAAGGAGGGTTCAGCCAATCAGTCCATTTGGTTCTTCATCTAAGCCGTTTCTTGAAAAAAGCACAGCTTCTTCCACACCTAGGCAAGATGCCCACAGCCATATGAAAAGGAAATAAGCCTGTAAAGCTGACAAAATAAATTTAATGTATAAACAAGAATTAGAGAGAGAAGACAAACAAGAGTAAGTCATTGAGTGCACCTGGCTTGTGTGATGGTTAATTAATTATCACTCCTTACCCAGCTGTTATAGACATATGGAGTAACAGAACGGCAATAACGCCTACAGATTCATCACACTCTTCATAATCAGAACCCTTAATTATAAAGCCAGCATCTCCAGACATGTTCCAAAAACAATTGAGTTTTCTTTGTCTGGTCTGAGACCTAGACGGTTTCAGATCTGTCGCTCGTCACTGTTATATGGAACTGTTTACAGTTTGTGAGGGTGTTTGAGGCTCGAACGCAAAGCGGGGGTTTGGCCGCACAATAATTCTGGATTGACTGCAGCATCATCATTGCTCTTTCAGTCTTGCTAATGCGCAGATGTTATCTGTCTGCGCTGATCATAGCACACAGTAAAGATTCCCATTTCCTTGTTTTGTGAACAGTTTTATACCTACTAAAGCTACAATATCATCTTGCAATGAATGCTCGTTACATGATATTATACTTTAAGGCTATATATCGTCCACTGAGACATCTGGAGGTGTTGATCGCTCTTGGAAAATAAAGTGGAGCACATTGTAAATGCAGACTTAAATAAAATGCATCAGTCTCTCCTTTCCCTTTTAGTGCGCTGTGTCAACACTGCCCTCTTCTGGTTAAAAGGACGAATAGCACTTCACTGTTTACAGAACTCCCAGCACAGACAAAACATTTGTAACATGCTTCTAATTTTAATGTTTTTTAATGTGATCAGTTGATTTGCAAATGAAACCATTAAGCCTTTGTTTTTCAAAGGCTGTAAAAATGCCTAAACACAGCACGTGAGTAAACCCAGAGCACCTTTCCATCGAAAAAAGGCTACAGCCTGCAGACGACTTGACAAAAGGTCTCTCACTACATTTCTGAGATGCCTGGCAACAGTATCCTAGATACAGCATTTCAAATGGAAATGGATTGTAATAATTATTGTTCAATATTTTTTTTTATCAAATCTTTTTCCATCTTTCCATCCACTGATCTAATTTCTAACCACTTCTTCCAATTCAGGGACGCAGTGGATCCAGAGCCTATCCCAGCAGGCAACATGTGCAAGGTAGGGTACACCCCGGACAGGACGCCAGTCCACTGAGGGGCAAATACACAAAAAAACACCCACAGTTGGGCCAATGTTCCCAGAAGCCAGTTAACTTATCAACATGTCTTTAGGGTGTGGGAGGAAACTGGTTCACCCAGAGGAAACCTAGTCAAACCCAAGGAGAACATGCAAGCTCCACACAGACAGCACCCCAGGAAGTGAACCCTGGTCACCAGCACCGCAAAGCAGCAATGCTAACCACTGTCGAGAGCCAACCAACATTTGTGCAACAACAGCAGGGAGACCACGTGGGACAACAGAACTGCAGAGACTCAGGTCACCAGGATTGGGACTTGGAATCCCAATCCTAGTGCTTTGTGAATCCATTGGGATGAAAGGCACTATATTCATGTAAGGAATTAGTAGTGGTGAGCCGTGGCCTCTCAACAAAACCATAACAGACCTGTCTGCTGCATAGTATCCTAATGAACACATCAGAGGTAATGGGAGCAATACTGACATCATCAGTATCACACAGGTGGGGAGCAGTGGATGGGGTTCTGGTCACATAACTACACTGGTGAGGACTCAAATCTCATACAGGACACTGTGATTGTTCCCAAGAGCCAGCTGAATTGTTTTAGTAAAAACCCAGCTGTGAAAATGTCTGCTCTTTCGAATGAAAGCATCAACCAACAAATTGTTATTAGCAGTTTGAGAGGAATCCATGAGTCCTACAACTAACAGGCAGCAGACGAACATTTACAGAAACGGCATCACACAGTCGGTGTAGGTGGTATGTCTATGTACCCATTCACAGAACAGAGCCCAAAGAATGAGCAGGTTTAACAAGATCTCTTAATTCTGCTTGATTCACACTGCCAGAGTGTCTCTCTTGCACTGTACCTCAAGCACACAGCCCTGCAGAGTGAGACGCTACCAGTCACTATACTTAAACCTAGAGACTTCTGTCATGTTTAGTGTCTGAGTCAGATCGTCATTGTTTATTACTGCTAAGGAGAATATTCGTGCCAATTGCACATTCCTACTACTCTGTCATGACGACTACTACAGTTACTACTGAATAGTTTAAAAAATAGTATTGCGATTCTGTGTAATTAATACGCTAATTATGACTACAATTATTAAGCAAATAATTGCTTTTGAAAAAAGTAAATATGGAATACGGAACGTAGTCTTGTTTATGTTTAAACTGAATTATTCGCTTAATAATTATTAATTTCCTTCTTTGACTTTATTCAAATAGAAGCTTCTGTCATATAACAGTTATGATTTGTACGTTTTCCTCAATATTTACAGCGAATAAATACCCCTATATTTGAAAAGAAGACACCTTCTAAATAAAAACTTTCCCGATTAAACTAAATGACACAGCTGGTAAAACGAATGTCGCAGAACGCAATGTCAAAAATATTGACCCGTCATCCTAAGACAGCGCACTTAGCTGTGCCTGCAGCCAAGTCCAGTGAAAGGGCACACGGAAAGGTTTCGTTTTATACGCAATGACCCACTCACTGATTTAACATTTTGTTGTAAAAAGGCCGGATATCACACATCTCGTCTGTTTCGCTATAGGTGGGCTTCTGAGATTACGACATATCAGAGTCACGACAGCTGACAATCCGACATTTGTAGCGGTTCTTGATGATGGATGGGTGAAGACGGTGGGTTATATATTTAAAAAAAAAAACAATCCGTTACAAACCTGCAGTTTAACCTAATTCCTCATCTTTAATTCGCATGTTGTTCACTGGTTGTCCTAACAGGTGGCTCACGGCGGAACGGTTCAGTTCTGTTCCTATTGCTATACTACAGCGAGTCTCTCTCGTCCTTACCCACTTTTCTTTGTTCGTCCGAAAGGGTTCAAGGTCTGTGTTTTGTGGCTTGGTAATCCTTTATTCGTGGACGGCTGGCCACTACATCGCTGTTTGCTGTAACTAAAGTGTACGTCCCCCGTTTCTGAGCCTTTTCTCATAATTTGCATGAACAATTTGGCCACCAACAAGGCAACAAAGTGAAAGAAATATACATTTCGGACGTGAATAAAGGGCTTTCAGTGTAATCCTTTTCCCGTTTTTCCACAAACACTGGACCAAAAAAAAGCTGTCGCTTGGCATTGACCCGTCGTGCCTGTGGTTTACGGACATTGCCCTAAACGAATCAGCTACCATACCGAACCTTACGCCGGGCAACTCCTCCGCTGTGACGCTTTTAAAGCCGACAGCATTAATTTAGCTAAAGAACGACATTTTGGCTCAAACTCAGGGTGTCAGATGATGTATCAAGCTGTTGTATAGTTTGAGCCATCATGGCACAGAACAGCCCTGTTTCAGTGGCAGGGGCTTCAAACGTTTGTAGTGCAGTTTAACTCTGATGAGCTAAGAGAAGGTGTGTAATTTCAGAAATTTAAAAAATGCTTTATTTATAACCATTAACAAAACACAAACATCATTAACTGACATTTAACTAAACAAAATATTGTATACATACATTATAAGAATAGTCAGAAGTACTTAACTAATTTACAGAAACAATTCAACATAACGTGTCAATGATTCGTTTAGCTCTCTTATTTTTGACATTTTGAATAGTTTTAACGTAAAATTCCATTTCTATTTTAAACAGGTTAATATTTGAAGTGGAAGTTGTCCATTTCATTTTATGGATATGGTATTTCCCCATAATTGGTAATAGATTTATTATAAATATAATTCTTTGGTCCATATCTGGGCATGTAAAATAAAGTAAGGTGTCAAACCCATTAAAAGAAATCTTAATATTTAAAGATCTTAATAAGACATGTTCCAAATTGCTCCAAAACATATTGGTTTGAATCCATCGATAAAACAAATGACATATAGTTTCTTTATTCATGTTACAAAATACACATTGAACATCTAAGTTGAGTTTAAATCTGGATAATGTTTAACAGGAAAAATGTTATTAAAAATTTTATATGACACTTCTTTAATTTTATTGTTGAGACAATATTTGCCATTTTCCATACTTTCTGCCAATTATTATTACATTTAGATTTTCTTTGCAGGTGTAATGAATATTGGTAAACATGTTCTTTATGTAATTATTATTACATTTCTTTTCTAAAATGTTAACACTACCCAATTAGACAATAAATGTTAATTGATTGGTTGCATAATTATATGTTCTGTTATCGCCCCTAAGGAAAGTAATAACGCCCCCAGGGGTAACATCAAATACTATAACGTATTCTTTGGGTGTAACTGGAATCTTAAAGGTCTCCAAAAATTCTGCAAAAGTTAATAATTTCTCATTTTCATTTAGTAATTGTCTCACTAATATAATACCATTATCAAACCATCTTTTTTTTAAAATGATGTATTTTTATAGTGTATATCCTCGTTATTCCAAATACTATATGTGTGTGGGGAGAAATTGTGTTTATAAGCCAGTGTCCAAGATATAAGTACCTGTTTATGAAAAATGGATAAATTAATAGGAATCTTGTTAACATCAAAATTGCATTTCAGTAAAAACTCAAGACCACCCGCCCTCTCAAACACAAATTTAGGGATGACATTCCAAAAACTGTCTATATTTTTAGATCACTTTTAATCCAATTAATTAAAAAAAACTTTATTTGAAGTTTTAAAATCCAGAACATGTAGGTCACCTTGATCCTGTTTATTAGTAAGAGTTTGTTTTTTCAAACAGTGATATTTATTTTTCCTGATAAAATCATATCGAAGTTTATCAAGGTTATTATTACAGATTAAGGTACTGTACCTCTGATGCCAGTGCAATATAAACTGTCCCCGTTATTCCTTCCCCTATTGAAAGAAGCACGCGTCCTGTTAATGACAGGTCTCTCATTAACCAAACATTATTTATTTTATTTTTTTCCATGATGGGAGTAAAATTGAATTTACTTCTTTCTGTCTGATCTTTACTATTTGCTTCACTGGGATGTCACATATCTTTTCAAGATCACAATCTTTTAATGGACAGATTTCCCATTTCTCAATATTCAGAGTTAAACCTGATACAGATGAGAAAAATATTTTTTCTCCTTGCTCCATCCATTCTCCTCTCAACCTAATAAATGCTGCTTTAGCTTTTTCTTCATATAATGTGCCTGGTTCTAATTGTAACAGCAGCATCTTCTCCTCTTGGTAACTGAATTTTGAGATTGGGTGAGTTCAATGATTTCTTTAATGATTTTATCATCTTTCATCTTTTTATAGATATTTATTTTTCCTCTTTTCATAGCCAATTGTCTAATTTTAAATTTCCTAAGCTCCCAATGTTTTTGCAAATATTTTAGTTAATGTGGCCTGTTCCATACAACTCCGGATGATCAGTTTTGCTTTTTCTATGAATTTAGTGTCTTGGAGAAGTTTTGCATCCAATAACTCCTATTATATTTTCTTTCGTGACACAAATTTAAATTCATCGATATAAATACAGCTTTGAGATCAGTGAAACTAGTGGGGTCAATACACACCTTAATAGTTTGACTCTCCAAGACGCTGGATATGAGCTATGATCAATTCTTGATTGTTTTTATGTCTTTACTGGAACAGGAAAACTGGACTTTAGGAGGGTTTTTACATGTCCAAATATCAATCATATCCAAACTCAAACGAAGGTTATTCATGTCATCAGATTCTCCCTGAGGTATTTTTTGGTTGGCCATCTATAAGGAATTCTGCATTTCTTTATAGAAACTATACAATCGGGGTGGAACAATAGATTATGTTCCTGCAATTGGTAACTTATTGTATTGCTTTTATCTTGTTCTAAATTCTAAATCGACAGATTCTATTTTATGCTATATTGATCTATTTGTTCTTATTGGATTATTATAGGACGGCACAGTGGCTCAGTGTTTAGCATTGCTGTCTCACAGCTGGGGCCCTGAGTTCTCTTCTCCCCCTGTGGTGTTATCTGTGTGGAGTTTGAGTGTTCTCCACATGTTGATGTGGGTTGCCTTCAGGTGCTTTAGTTTCCTCCCTCTGGGAAAACCGGCCCTGGTGTGAGTGTGTACATGTCTACAGTACGTGTCCCCTGTGATGGGCTTGTGTCCTGTCCGGGATGTGTCCTGCTTTGTACCCGTTGCTTGCTGGGACAGACGTTGGCTCCTGGATCAGTTAGCTTCCAGCTACCAAGGTTAAATGAGCTGACTGGTCTCCTCTTATTAACAGTCTTTCTAATGTTCCCATGAGTTCCACAGAAAATTCAATTCAGTCCTGAAGAGCCATTTAATGGCTGCTATGTATTAGATATGTGATCCAAAAAGATCTTTCTGTGCTGTAGAACAAACAGTGACTTTGCCTTCTAAGCCAGTTTATTTTCCTCAATCACTTCTTCTGTTCTGTGTGAATAGAAATTGCTTTCCTACCAGAGACACTCTCCTGTTAGCAAATGGGGGCTGGTAGCACGTCTTGTCAAATCTCACATGCTGGATTGTGGGTGGTGGTTTCAGGCAGTATGCCAAGGCCTGAGACTTACTCTCAAACCAAACGTTGAACCCAAAAACTATTTTCCCAAACTCTTCAATAGACACAAACTATGACCAAACACCATCTATCACCGTGACTCACTTAATATATCAAACTATATCTAAATCAACCTTATGTAGATTATGACACTCAGCCCTTCACCAGTTAACTAATTAATCAGCAAATGAACATGTGAACCTACCGTATTTACAAACACTAGAATTCATGTTGCCCTCTAGTGGGAGGTCAGCTGAAACAACTATAGCTGTATTATCGCTGGCCTGTCACACCAGTCTTGACTTACTGGCATTTTGATTTTTGCCTCATTGCTAAACAAATGGACTTGAGCCAGGAGTAAGTCCCCAGGTTCATGAGATTAACTCATATCAAGTTCAGCTTCATAGCTTATGGTAACACCATCTTTTTGTGGGGGTATTAGCCTCTTTCAGCCTCCGAGCATGTTTACAGAGGCGTGATGTTAACCACAATGTCAATGTGCTCTTAACATAAGTACTTCTGAGCTGTGATATCTCCAGCCTGTAGTTTGCCATCTGCAGAGCTTGCAAATTCGCAGATGTTTCAGATGGATGGTAACATACAGACATGTGATCTGAAAAGTAAATAAGCACCAAATGGATCCTACTGCACGGATGCCTAAATCCCTGCTTCTTCCTGTAGAAGAATAACTCTGGCACATCTTCCCAGATCAGCATGCCATGGCTGTTACAAGTTTCCATTAATGGACAGTTAAAACCTTTTTCACTCCCAGCCTCTCAGAGGCAATTTCCACCTGAAACGGATAGGCCTTTAAACATCTCATATTATCTTGGAAAGTGTAGACAGTATAAGCCTGGTTCAGGGCTTGAATTCAAGGTAATACAGCCATAGTGATTGCTACAGTTTCACAGTTTAAGCCTGTTCCTAAAGGGTTGGTACAATTTCAGGTTTTCAAGGTATCTTTAAAGATGAAGAGACAGAGTAGCTGTCAAACGTGTCCTGATAAGACAGTAAGGAGCTGGACTGACAGCTGAACTGTCTGTCAACTTGCAGTCATCAGCCCTGTTATCTAAAACAACAGGCAGATAAACATGGGAGTGCTGATGTTGAAACCAGCCATTTTAATACACTGCAACAGAACACAGCATTCAAGCTTTAATCGTGAAGAAGAACCATTCTTGACAAATGAGCTGAAAGCAGCAATGCAGGAATGTTATTCTCCTAAATTATCAAAAATATCTATTCTCTGCATTTTGTTTAGAAAAGTAACGTCAGGAAACAGATGTAAACCAGAGGAGGACTGAGGTCAATAGAGCTTGCTTTCCTTTTTTTAGACATGGTCTAGATTCCCTGATAGAAAAGACTTCTCCAGTAGGAAAAGCACAGCAGTTTCAATTTCTAGGCAACAGAAACCGGCACTCCCCCTGTGCTCAGCAGGACTTCCGTCTTCCCAGAAATCAGGAGTAATTTACACAAACACCCTCAAGCAACACCAATTCCAACCACTTACCAATATCTTGCAATTATTCCAAAATATAAAAGGCAGACCTTCATTAGGGTTAAGTTTTTTTACAGCAGTATAGTCATAGATTTAGATTTATAGTCCCCACCTGCTCATTTCTGCATTATACAGTACAGTGGGTAGTGTAGTGTAGTGGGTAAGTCTCTGGACTCTTCACTGGTGGACTGTGGGTTTGAGTCCCAGCTTCAGACACTGCTGTTGTATCTTGAGCAAGGTTTAGGACAGACATCCCAACTAGAGGGGAGTCTCTGTCTCTCTGTTAACCTAACACCATAGACACCAGAATAAGTTCTGGACTGAGGCGTCATGAATCTGTAACTATCTGCCTGTTAGTTTTCAGCGTGTGTAACTTAAAATGATATGAACGCATGGTGCGCAAAGATGCAAGAGCAGTGATATGATGTGACTGGACAGTGCAATAGCTGAATGAGAGTTACCCTCTGGCACGCCTACACCTTCACCAGCGTGATGAAGCTGGGCGGCTTTTTATAGTACACCGCAAACCCCAGGCAGACGGGCCGAGTGAAGGTGGTGGTGAACGTGTGCAAGTGGCTGAGTGAGCCTCCCACCTCGTGGAAGGAAAGCGTGCCAGCGCTGTAGTCCAGGGTCACCGCCACCCTGCTGTGATTCAGGGCCCGCGGCAGGGCTGTCTTTTTACTGGCGTGCCAGGCCGAGAGCTCCCCCTTGTCGTTCTGCATGAGGCTCCAGGAAATGCGATTCTGCCCCAGGAAGCCATCGTCCTTCCCTTTGATTCTGGCGGGCCGGTAGGTGAGCCCTATGACCCAGTGCCCTTGAGTCTCCACCTCCCAGTAGTGAATCCCAGACGCTAAGCACTCGTTGGTCAGCACCTGTGGCCAGAAATCGAAGCGCTCGGGATGGGCCGGGTAGGGCTGCTCGTCTTCGGTCTTTATGGCCGTCAAGCCGTTCTCGGTGATCTGCAGGTAGGGGTGGGCGGTGCTCTTATCCAAGGTCAGCTGCTCGCGATCTAGAACAGGAGAGTGTGACCGACGTCAATCAGACAGTGCAGGAGCAGGCAACCCTTATCCTGGACGGGGGCTCTATGAGCGCAGGTTTCCCAGGTCTCTTCCGAGCAGAAGGGCCCGAAGAGCTGGGAGACGCTGTTCAGTTGGTCCATGAAGTCAATGATGAGCAGATTTAGAAGGTTAAGAGCCGAGTTGGAATAAAAACCTGGAGATGCACCAGGTACTCCAGGACCAGGACTGCTCATCCTTGTTTTAGTGCACCATAGAACCATTGTAACAGGTCTCCTAGTCTGAGTTACAGTAAGTGTGTTAAAGTGGTATATACACAGCTGAGCTACCATTTCTCTCTCTTCCTCTAATTGTGAAAACGTATTCAAATGCAGGAGACACTCTGAAACAGCAGCAATCACAGTGTCACATGGCCATACTCACAGCATTCCCTTTTCAGCTCACTGAAGAATTTTGTGGCCAGCGTCTGGAGCTCTGCATAGCTCTGCTCAATCTTCTTGTAGACTTTATTCTTATCCAGACTCACAACAACAGGCTTATAAAGAGGTGTGTCCAGTTCCTTTCGGATTCTGTAAGAGACAATGACGAATTTATGTCTTCACTTGATACCCTCTTCTTTTGATATGAAAATGTTCTGCCAGCAATCAACCCACATGATAAAAGACCCAGACACAGATCGCTGAAATGAAATTTAGGAATCAAATAATGTAAAGACATCAAAGAAGGACACAGAAAAACAACAGTGAACATTTATATAGAGAGCTTTAGTTTACAACAAACTAATGCATCATTATTCTGGTGTCTTCTTTTTGAATTACTTCATCGTATTAAATACTCGGTTCAGTGTCATTGTTGTCTCTACAGAATCAATCCTACAGACTTTTTATTAGGAAATCAGTATCATCAATTTTCTAACTGTGTTATTTAATTAAGGATTGTGGGGGAGCCAGAGCCTAGCCAGTGGGATGGGTCACCAGTCCATTGTAGGGCATACACACTCACACCAGGACTAATTTTCCCAGAAGCCAGTTAGCCTACCATGATGTCACTGGACTGTGGGAGGAAACTGGAGCACATAGAGGAATCACAGGGAGAACATAAAAACTCCACGCAGACAGCATGTTACAGTTCCAGACTCCCGCCACCAGAGGGCACCCCAACTCTAGTGCCTACTTCATCTGTGCAGCAGAGGCGCAGAACAAGCAGACAGCAGTAGCCAATCCCTAATTGCCCAGTGTCCCTACCTCACCATGCCTCCTCTCCCCAGACCTATTTAAACCCTGCTCTTGTGGATTGTGTTTCGTGTTTCAGGTGCTTGATACTACATTTGTCTTCTGGCTTCAGACTTTTGCTCACCTCCTGACCCTGGCCTTGGATTTCTCTAATTTAATGTCTTAGGATATCTGTGACATTGAAACCAGCATAGGGTCCTTTCCTTGTTTTCTGAGCTGTGGACCAACTTTAACACATCACCCCCGGTCTGGAACTGAGCCCAGGGCCCTCGTGTGGAGATGCAGCATGCTAACCACTCTCCCATCACACCATCCATCACCAATAATATGAAAATGGAACAGAGTTACCAGATTTTTACCCAGTTTTTTCAAGGTAACTTACTTTTCTTCTTTGGAGTGGAATACCTAAAAAAAATAAAATTATACAAGGGATATCAGCATTTATTCAAACACATTTATCAAAGATTAAACAGTTCTTGTCACTCTGTCAAGCTGACATGCTCCATCTAATATATAATGAGGATAATATAATATCAATGCACCTTTACCTTAGTAATTCCATTTCCTTCTACCAGTGTTTGAATATAACAACATTAGAAAGACTAGAAAAGAGAGAGAGTCCACCCTAGCTCATTAATTGATACAAGGATCTCAACCGACTGTTTCTGGAAAGAAACCAGGGGATATCAGGTTCAGCAACAGGCCTGGACACCACCACCACCCTCTGCTTAAACACGTCTCCTGTCCTAACTGGAGGATCTCATCCAGCTTTGTCTTGAAAGATGCCAGGACTCGGCTTCAACAACATGGCTGGGCAGCTTGTTCCACACCCCCACCACCCTTTGCGTAAAGAAGTATGTCTTGTTCTCAGCTGAAGAAGCCCATTGGGCTGAGACTGTGTCCCCCCTCCTGTCTTACCTGAATGAGCTGAAAGGTGTCCTGTTCCTGCAGCAGGGTCTCAATGTTGTTCTTGATATCTTGCACTCTGTGTTTGTCTTTCCTGATTTCTGCGCTGTTCTTCTGCAGTTTAGCCTTGGCGTTCGATGCCTCTTGGTCAGAATATTCACTCAGATTTGAGCGAAACTTCTTCATTTTTTTCTTCAGATCAGTTGCCACCCGGTCCATTTTCTGTTTTAAGACCCTTGAAGAGTTCTTGCCAGAGAGGATATTAAAGAGCGCAAATTAGTAATAAACTACAACTCAAATAAAGAAATTAGAATGAATATTTTTCAGACTCGACATCTTGGTGCTGCAGGAGTTAGTCTTACTGCCTCACAGGGCCGGGTCCCAGGGTTCAACTTCGGACCTGGGGTGCTATCTGTGTGGAGTTTGCGTGTTTCTAAAGGTTTGCGTGACCTGATTAAGCCTCCTGGTTTTATACAGTAGCAAGAAATGGTTGCGGAAGAGCTGCTTTTGCAGTGATTCATTCTCAGTCCTGCCTGGTGTTGTTTTGGGCTGGGCTTCTGAAATAACGCGAGGTACTGGCGAGAGAGCAGTTTCCTCCCACAGCCCAAAGACATACGGGCAGGTAAATTGGCTTCTGGGAAAACTGGCCCTACAGTGAGTGTGTTTGTGTCTGTCTGGCCTGTGATGGACTAGCGTCCCGTCCAGATTGTACCCCACCCTGCGTCTGTTACTTGCTAGGATGAGCTCAGGCTCCTCCGCAGCCCGCATTCAAGCAGTTAGAAAATGGATGTTTGGTTTTTTTTCAGGCCCCTAACACCAATATACTATTTAACACTCTTCTGTAAAACATGCAACACTATGACAGACATCTGCCCCAACTGACTCCACTTTGATCATCCTCAGTCCTCCTGCTTTTTCTCTTGAAGTTTCACCTCAATCATTTCTTGCTGTCGTTTTTCTTCTCTCAGGGCTGCCTCGTTCCCTTGCAGCTTGTTGTTCGCGTGCTCCAGGAATAACAGTAGCGTGGCCTGCGAAGACATCACAAACGCACACCGGGGGGGCTGGTGAATGAACTCAGTCTGCCTGTTCTGTTGTTTTCTAAACGCATCGTCTCCTCCCCTTTCAAAAACTAAAGAAATTGACCTCTTACTTTCGTGTTCTCTTCAGTATCCCATAGAAGATGCTTCTGCTATCTCACTCCCTGAATGATCTGTCTGCAACTCCACCAGTCAAGGAGTCGGGAGGACACCACTGGATGAGCATGACGAACTGGGCGCTAGACACTCTGGATGTGCCAGAGGTTGGGGGGAGGGGGTGAATGGAACAAGCTGGAAAATGCTTCAGCTAAAATAAACCAGTCCACTGAATACTGTTCTTTAGATCTTTATCAATAACACTGTGCTGTTCCTGCCCTTGCAGATAATTTAACAGTGCCTTTCTCACACCAGAAGAATCATTTTGGCCTGACTTCTGCCGTGTTTATCTGCTGGTATACTGTATTTTACACAGCTGTGGAAGGACTGGATTACCAAGCGCAGGTATTTGATAGTTCAGACCAACACGGTGTCAGTATCACTAGTGTATGCTTATGTCCTGTGTTATTGTTATTTTATTCAGCTACTGTGTACAGTTTAAAGTATTTTTTAAGTTATGCAGAATTCTGTGTTTCAGTGTGTCGGTAGGTTTAACAGGTATGCATTCCCTTGTTTTCTGATTGTTCATACTGGATAATGTGACCAGGAAAGGGAGAGATCAGGTAGCTGGATGTAGGTGGAGATGTGACCATTAAACTGTTAAAAAGAGAACGTCCGTCTCCAGCCAGTTCCCCCTCCCGACAGGCGGAGTGTTTCACCACCTCCACACAAGCCCAACACAGAGACTAGTAAAATACAGTACTAGTAAAATAGATTTGTTTCAAGCAGATCCTGTCTCTACGTGCCCTTACAGCAGGGAAGAGGAAAATACAGACGATTATTCGTGTTAACGGTCGGGAAATTCTAAATCGCTTAGAAAAAAACGATGAGTGAAATAGTGAAAAAAATAATAACTTAATTCACCCACACGCACACACTGGCTGCAGGAAGGACATGTAAAGTGATGTGCCCGGAATGTACTGTACTGTCACAAACACAGTTGACGTAATATGTTTATAAGTGTAACGCATACGGCCACAGGTGAGTGTGTCACCGCCCTTTCCTGTAATAGCAGGGCCCGCAGCCGCTAGACTGGAGGGAGATATCTTTTTAGCTCAATAAGCTGGGTCCCTGTTGAGTGACGCCGGAGGCCCGGGTTCGAGTCCCCGACAGCGGGGAGCCGACCTGATGCGGCAGCAGGCGACAGCGCCCACGTGAACCCCGTTGTGATACATTAGAAACAAATGCAGATAGTGTTACAGATTCTGGAAGAAGTTCTTGCTGTAGATAATGTGTACAAATTATTCTACTGCAGCATAATCATATATTAACAATTCATTTTTACTGCGGTCACAAGTAACCGTTTACTCTGCGCAAACTACCTCTCCGTGTGTTCTTTATGTCTCACTCACAAACACGTAAACGCGTAAACGCGCCTTCGCCTCTTCGTCTCCAACAGACCTTAAACTCCGTCTCCGCTTCCTCGAAACTCTTCACGTCGTGGCCCAGGTGTGTCCCGGACACCGCGCACAGCGAGCACATGGGCATCTTCTCGGTCGAGCAGTACATTCTCAACATCTCGCCGTGATCGGGGCATTTCCTCTGCTCGAAGTTCCGCACCGGCCCGACCAGCGGGTGGTCCCGGAAGGCCGGTTTCTCCAGGTGCGGCTTCAGGTGCAGCGAACACAGGGACAACTCGCACTTCAGGCAGGATCTGACCGCCGATTTCTTCTGGCACCAGTCGCAGGGCACAGCGGAGGTCCCGCCGGCCGCTTGGCTGTTGCGGAAAGCGTTTGCGGCGCTTGCCAGAGGCTCATTCCTCCTGAGGCTCGGCGGCTCCGGGAAGCGTTTCCGGCACACCGGGCAAGCGAGTCTGTCCCCCGCCGGCACCTGTTGGATGAGCGCCTGGACGCAGGAGTGGCAGAAGCTGTGGCCGCAAACGAGCTGGTGAGGGTCGCGGTAAATCTCCTGACACACGGAGCAGGTCAGCTCTTGCTTACACAGAGCGCTGGCCATTTGTGAGCTCCTGAAAAGACTCCGGTAGAGAGGCGTGCAGAGGAAGCGCGATGACTCCTATCAGACACGCACCCCCTGTAAGATAGGCTGCTAGGGCAATAGGATCCTATGCAGGACTCAAGAGAAAGACACTAAGCAGATACGCTAGGCAAAAACGAAAACCAGGAGGCAGGTGAGTAGGTCTGAACACGGAGAGACAAGGAGGAAGCAACAATCCCAAAACACTAGGCGAAATCGAATCCAGGAAGCAGGCGAGTAGGTCTGAACACGGAAGTACAAACGAGAAAGCAGCAATCCAAATCACAAAGCGAAACCGAAAACGAGAAGCAGGCTAGGAGATCGAAAAGCAAGCGATAACCGCGCACTAGGGAGCTCGAAGAGAATCCGCAATAGTGAGCGGGGAAGTGAGGAAAAAGGAGAACTAAAAAACAGCCATTATGAACAACACCTCTCATCCGCTTCATGGGACTGTTACTGGGCAGCGGAGCACTTTTAGCAACAGACTGCTCCAGCTACTGTACGGTGTTCAAGGGAACGTTTCCGCAGGTCTTTCCTCCCTGCGGCTGTATAACGCTGCCCTAGGCCAGGACTGTTAGCCCTTCATCTGCTCGTCTATGGACAGCATGCTGCTCCATTGTACATTTTGGACAATCAGTCTGTATAAACCTATGCACATTTTGCACATATTTTATTGTTTTTACAGTGACTATGATCATCATATTTTGCACATACCTATGTATTTATTTATTTTATATTTATTTTGTATCACCTTTCGTCTATTCTGATGTCTGTTTTTGCTTGTTTTGGGCTGGACTGCTGTAACACATGAATAAAGTCTTATCTTATGTAAGTCAGGTCCCTGCACACCTGTTCGAACTCGAGTCTCTTCGGGAGCGGGCAATGGGCGTGGAACACTTCACTTTAAAACGTACTGTACTGCATAACAGTGAGGCGCTGGACCCGAATTAAGAGAGACACATGACGTAGTAATATCTGCAAAACTAAATAAACATGATCAGTCTACATGATATCTAATGTAATACTTCACCACCGCTCTCTCGCCAGTGCCTCGCGTTATTTCAGAAGCCGGGCCCAAAACAACACCAGGCAGGACTGAGAATGAATCACCGCAAAAGCAGCTCTTCCGCAACCATTTCTTGCTACTGTATAAAATCAGGAGGCTTAATCAGGTCACGCAAACCTTTACAAACACTGCAGATACAGCCACCAAATTATCATCATTCCGAACAGGAGGTCATTTTTTTACATCAAATCCAGCCCGTTGTTCAGATGTCGCCAGTGTATTCCTATGGAGGGACGTGCCCCAATCTTTTTATCGATTAACTTAAACAACAGGGGTCAAAGACCATCTCTTACCCCCTATCTGCTGTCAAACACATCTGTAGGACCATGAAGCCCAGAGAAATAGGCAGCAGTCAAGTTCAAGGAAGAGTGAAACATCTGGATTGCGTTACACAATGAAACTTTTTTTTGGGGGGAGGTGAAAAATTATGCTTTATGTCGATCGAATTGTAAAGGAAGGGATGTTCGTATCCATTCCACTAATTTAGGAAGTGATGGGTTAAAGGATTAGCCCGCTAGTTATTAAGCGTTTGTTTGAATGCAATAAATAAATAGTTATATAAGGATAATTTTAGCGTTTAAGTTTTGTTCTGTTATTTTCTAAACGCATCGTTATTATTTCATAGTCTTCATTATTTTAGTCTTCCAAAATTGTGTAAAAAAAACTCGGAATGTGTTAATTAATCAAAAAATCATCGCACACACTATTTTTAATACAGCGCTTTCCCATTGCGCAACTGCGAAGATTTCATTACTATATGACCTATAAACGGCTTGTTTGGACACAAACTGTATTTATTTCTTCCACAGTCCGTTCTTAATGATTACCACGATTGTGATACTGCGAGAGTGGAGTTGTTTCCGGGCCACGAAGATGCCTATTTTGATCACCAAAAGGCTGTGTAAAGCTGTTTACTGATCCCTGAGCTGAAGAAACGAAACTTAACAGTCTTTATCAAACCCCTCCCCAGAGCTGTGCTTTAGCTCTGAAGTCGACGGGCGCGCACAGCAGAGAGAGTGCCATCTTCCCTCCAGGGGTGTAAAGTTAAACAATGTCAGGTTCCACGACGCCAGAAAACCTCTTGGAGAGTGAGCTGACGTGCCCGGTGTGCCTGGATATTTTCAGGGACCCCCGCCTGCTGCCCTGCGGTCACAACCTCTGTCTCCTCTGTGTCCAGGAGCTGAGGAAACAGCGAGGAAACGGCCAGAGCTTTAGCTGCCCGGAGTGCAGGCAGGAGTGCGCCCCAGACGCCGCCCTGCAGAAGAACCGCAAGCTGGCCAACATCGCGGAGGAGTTCCGCAAGAACCGGGGGGAAGACCCCGCCGCCGTGTTCTGTGACTGCTGCCTGCAGAAGACGGCGGCGGTGCGGCTCTGCCTGAAGTGCGAGGTGGCCCTGTGCGGTGATCACGTCAGGCTGCACACGGAGAGGCCGGCTTTCAGAGACCATACCCTCACGGAGCTGGGGCAGGACCCGGCGAAGAGGAAATGCCCCGAGCACGGCGAGGTGTTCCGTTTCTACTGCGTGCAAGACGAGGCCGCCCTCTGCTCCTCCTGCACAGTGCAGAGACAACACAAAGGTCACGACATGAAGACCTACAAAGAGCTAGCGGAAGAGTTTAAGGTGTGTCCCAGTAGTTTCTCCTTCGGTGTACAGTATATGTGATCCCTGCAGTAACGCTGTGTCCTTCAGTTTTGTAACCTGGGGTGTACCTATCAACCCCAGTACCTGTTAGCACCAAGGTTTTAGGAGATCAGATTTCCCTGGCATTGATCTTCCCAGTAACCAAACGAATTTTGTGGTAATATTTTTGTAGTGGTAAAAAGGATGACTCTCAGGATAGCAGGACTAGGGAACATATTCAGATGTATTGACTGCAGCTGTTTCTGAGACAGCACAACCCCTAGACTTCACCTGGACAGATGACAGTCCAGCAGAAATGTCTTTTAACCTAAAAGATTCTCTGACCTTAGTTCTCTGTTGTTTTGATGCTGTCTGTTGTCTTATAGTTCTCCCTTATTCTGTCTCACACAAGTCAGACATTAATTTGTACCACACACACAGTACAAGTGAACCTTCCCCAAACCCTTCAATTTGACATGCTGTCTGCTGTGTACCCCTAGGAGTGGCACTATTTT